TATTTTCCAATGGACTATGTCATTGTTGATTTTACTGATATGCCCAGAAGCAAGAAATATGTAGCCTTGTTAGTTATAATCGATACCTATTCAGGATGGATTGAGGCCTTTCAAACTGCAAATAAGAAAGCTATACAGGTTGCCAGAATATTTCTTAAAGAAATTATTCCTAGATTTGGTTGCCCTTCTAGGATTTCATCAGATAATGGCCCTGAATTTGTACACCAAATCAATCAGGCTTTAGCCCAGGCACTAGGAATTAAGTGGAGATTTCATTGTGCTTTTCACCCTCAATCGGCTGCTAGGGTGGAACGTGCTAATCGCACAATTAAAACACTTATTACCAAATTTTGTTTGGAAACTCATCTCCATTGGCCAGATGTTTTGCCTATGATTTTGTATGCAATCAGACTGGCCCCCCACACTAAATTACAACTTAGTCCTTATGAGCTCATGTTTGGCCGTCCTCCTTGCTTATTTAAACCTGACAGTCAAGGCTGGCCGGACTTGGCTCATAAGCGGGGAATAGATCAACAGAAATTGTTACATCAGTTACAGCTTCATAATTTAGCTGTTTCAAATTTGCGCCATTATACGATGGAACAACAACCCTCTCCAGTGGTCATGGCAACAAATGGGTTCAAACCAGGAGATAGAGTGTGGGTAAAGCACTGGAAATCAGATCCCTTTAGCCCAAGATGGAAAGGACCGTATACTGTTGTCATGTGTTCTTCTTTGGCAGTGAAAACCTTGGAAGGAAAGTCCTGGATCCACTGGAGTAGAGTGAAAGCAGCTGTACCTACAGATCCAGTAACTTACAAGGTGGACAAGACTGACAAACCTTTGCTGTTGAAATTTACAAGAAATACAGCAACGGGTTCCCAACACACGGTGTGAACAACAACCTTGCTGAGACACCCCGGAAGCTGTCTCTCTATGCACGGTGGAAGATATGAGGATTCTACAGCTCGTAATATTTGTTAGTTATTTAATATGCACACACATTCCTACACAAATCAGTGCAATGGCTACACGAGAGGTCATAATGCAGAAACCCTCTAATAAAAAATTATTGAGTAGCACACACAAAGAAAGAACAAAAACACAGTGAAACCAAGGTTGTCAAAACTGTATCAAGACTACAAAACAAGGAAACCAGATAACCAAGACTTTGATTTATCATACAGTAAAACCAGAAGGGTGCCAAGATAGTTCCCCTGACTCTTGTACATACAATAGAATTACATATAGAGTTTGTAGATAAGGGGTCCAAGATCAGTGTTACAACCCAAAGTCTGATCCTGATCGTTGGGCCTTACAAATCAAAACACATAGAACAAGAAGTAGCTATAAGGACCAGGCACTATTAGGGATCTCCCAATGGAAATCCAACCCACACTCTAGTTTTAGCGTCACTTTTGATGTTTGCAAAGCAGCTAATTATTGGGCTCCAATATATGATTACGGAGGGATTAGTCATAGTCACAGCTATATCCCAAACCATAAGTACTTGTGCCCACCAGATGGATGTGCCGTCAAATGTAAGTGGTGGTCATGTATTAAGTGGCATACCCAAGACCCAAAGGAGATAGACCACATCTTGTTTGAAAAGAATGAAACAAAAGCAGATTCCTGTGGAACGGATAACTGTAATTTGATGACTCTCACAGTTAAGAATGGCAGTTGGTTCCTGGAACAAGATAGATGGGAAAGAAAGAAATGGAAGTTTGGGATAGGAATAGATACCAAAGGCTACAACCCAATGTCAGAAATAGAAGTCAAAATTATAACTGCAACCAAAAGACCAGAACAAAAATCATTATTTTCGTCATATTATGAGGAAATGGAGAACCTACATATTCCTGAAGTACCTAGACATGTAAACAACACCTTTGTTAAGTTAGCAGCAGACATTGCCCATACTTTAGGCGTGTCTAACTGTTTTGTGTGTGGTAGAACAAACATGGCAGAAAGATGGCCATGGGAGGCACAAGAGTTAAATTATACCAACATACTAGAAATGTCTAAAAATAATAATTTAACCTATACAAGTAGGAAAGATGGTGATTGAGCTCTCACTTCCAACTTGGTAGGACATGTATGTTACTCAAGAAACAAAACAGAATCTTCCATAGCAGTAGGTGACCTCCTATGCACAGGGACATGGGAAAACGGTAAATGGTGGTCTGGAACCAACAAGACCACTGCTATGGATCGTTATGCCCTTACTAACATACCTGGGATGCCATATCTAAAAGACCCCACAAATACTAGTCTCCGTTGGTTAGCCCCAGATGGAATGTACTGGATTTGCAGAAAAATGGCATACGGACAACTACCTAAGAACTGGTGTGGATTTTGTGTATTGGGAATAATTTGGCCAGGATTTTTCCTGTTACCATTAAAAACTAAGCAAATTCTTGGAGTCCCTATATATGATGAAGATGGCAATATAAGACAAAAAGGGGAACCAAGTGCATACACCCAATGCGCAGGAATCACTTGGCAAAAAAATGAATGGCCACCTTGCCGCATCATCCTAGTCTATGGCCCGGCTACTTGGGCTGAGGATGGAATGTATGGATAACGTACCCCTATTTATATGATCAACAGGATCATTAGGTTACAAGCGGTGGTAGAGTTAATCACCAATTAGACTGTGAAGGGACTAACTGAATTGGCCATAGAAAATGTGAAATCCAGAACATATATCATGCAAAATAGGTTAGCCCTGGACTATCTTTTGGCCAAAGAAGAAGGGGTATGTGGAAAATTCAACCTAGCAAACTGTTGCATCAAAATAGATGAAAGTGGAAAAGTATTGAAAGGCATAACAGACCAAATGATCAAGTTAGCACATGTTCCGGTGCAAACCTGGAACGGATTTAACTTGGAAGATGTATTTTCAGGATGGTGGCCATAGTCACCAGGCCTACAAACCATCATAGTTATAGCAGTCTTGTTAATTCTAGAATGTATTTTGATTCCTTGCTTATTCCCCTGTCTTATAGCCATGATTCAGAGGATCTCAGAAAGTACAGCCCAATTAACTGCAAAACATGAAACAATGTTAGCTTTATGGGAATATAAAATGGTACCTTCAAGAGATCCTGAATCAGAGGCAGAATAATGGAAGTTTAAGCTGGAAAACTTCTAAATGGGGGAATAAAGTGGAATAAAGTAGAATAATAATAATGATGATGATGATGAAAAATCATTATTCAAGTAAAATGATGTGTCTGCATAATTCCTGGAAGAAAGCTGTTAGCAAAAGCTGTGTTAACAAAACGTGACTGACCTAATGCACATTGAGAAACACTGTATAAAGTAAAACTCTCTTCATTGTATGCCTGTGAGAAACTAACCGAATGATATACAATGTAGATTCCATGTGTGCTCCTTTGTTCCTGCGAAAGGCAGAGCTATAAAACTGTAGTTTGAACCCACCCCCTTTGTTCAGAATTTGCTGTTGTTAACTGGCTTCTGAACCTTGCGCAAATAAACTTCTCTGTTACACCCTTTGGAATTTGTAAAAATCCTTTCATTTTCCACAAGAATATGGCACTGAAATAATTGTTATCTAAATAAAACAAAAGAGAACGGCAACAGTTTAACATAGCAGAAATGTTTCACTGAATTCAGTGGAACTTATCTCTGTCAACAGGTCAACTTGCCTAAAATTTTAAATGTAACTGGATATGTTAGGCTTTACTAATCTTAGTGCCGACATGGATTTCTATCACCCTAAACTAAACCCAATCATACATTGTCAAATGTATGAAACCCAATTAATTATGACTTTAATTTGATAAATACCATGTATATTCTGTATTTTTTTGTATCAGAGGTTAATTGTCTTAAAAATTAATTTGCTGGGGTTGAGTAAGAAGAGTTCTTACTCTTTTTACTCAATGTGTAAATATAATTTAAACTATATGGAAAATATTTTACTTACAAGTTAGATCTGGCACAAATTTGAGCTATAATAATCTGGACAACTATTAGAATGCAACGAAGAAATACAAAAAGTTGTATTCTCAACTAACGGTCGTTTTAATTTTTGAAGCCCATTAAAACATGTGGGCTGCAGCAGTATATTTATGTACATCCACCTCACTAGGGTTGTTAAATAGCTACGAAGTGGGGGAGGGGGCTTTGCCCGAACGCAGCCAATTCTATTATCCGCTCTGTTCCCGCACACCTTTCATCAGGACAGCTCAAAATTAGCAGCTGCGTTTGTAAAATACGCTATGCGCCATTACAGTAGCGTTAACTCTGTTTTTTGTGGTTTTACCATGTGGTGCAAATCCAACCTGTTGAGTTAGTTTATGATTCAATGTACAAGATCGGGCAAACTTAATGGAGCCTATTTTTGCTCCCAAAAGGAGGCTGGCGACCTCTACAGGCAGAGAAAAGTAATTACGCTAGGGCCGCACTTGTAAGGAGCAAAGGCAGCAAGAATCCCATCAGCCGCGTTTTATGTTTACCTACTAGTTCAATGGCAAAAAGAAAAAGGCGCGGCCGCTCCTCGCCGCACAGCCCAATCTTTGTGCCTTCCCTCACCCTCCTTCCCAGACATTTTGAATCACGAGTAGGGAACCTAGGCGGCGATGGCGGCTACCGACGGCAAACACCCCGACCAATCCTATCCCGCGCCACCTTTACCGTCACTTCCGGCAAGGAGCTTCCGCTTCCGGGTCTCAACCCAGCGGAGGCTTGCCGAAAGTGGTTCTTTTCCGTTCTCTTTCTTTTACTTGTGTGTGTGGGGGGGGTGTTGTCCTGTCTGGGAACTCAGCCCGTCGCCGGTCCCGCTCTTGTCGCCACCAAGTCCACCATGTCACCTGTCGCCAAGGCCGTCTCCGCAAACTTCTCCTCACGGTGAGAGAAAAAGAAGTTTTCCCCGCCCTTAGCTTTCCCCTTCTCTCGCGCGATCGGCGTGGGGGCCGGTGGGCGTGGCCTGGGGAGCGGTTGCCGCAGCCTCGCCCCCCAGACGCTGTTTGCCACCCCGCATCGGTGAATGGGGAAAGGGAGAAGAGAGGGCAGTTGGGCGGGGCTTGCCTTCTGCCACACCCGGATAGGAGGCGGCGGAGCGCGTCACAGGACGTGCCCGCAACCTGTGGAACTCACCGCCACGTGATGCGGTGACCCTTCTGATACCCTCACCCTCCCCGGTTTTGACGGCTTTAAAAGAGAAGTCTAATGCAGGGAGGAAGAAAAGGTCTGTTTGAGATTGTTTTTTCTTTAAGTGAAAGCCTGGACTTACAGGGTATGTTAGCCTAACAGGGTTACTTAATTTGTGGTATGTTTTTATGATAGGTTTGCCAAGGGGCAAGCCGAGGCTACCCCCTTTGAGGAGCTCATCCCGATCTTTAAATTTATTTTTTTCCGAGAGCGCTTGGTCAGATTTGCCCTTTTATAGGTTCTGATATTCTCGATCTTCTAGAAGATTTCATTAACTGAAACGTGATTTTGGGCTAGCAAGGTCTTGGGCAATAAAATAAGGTACTTTTCTTTCTCTACAAATAATAAATCGGCTGTAGTGACTTCTGAGTCTCAGCACAAGTAATAAAAGAACTTAGTGTATTACAGAGTTGTTACTTCTTAAATCAAAATAACGAGTTAAAACACGTTGGACCTGTAGCGTTGTCATGACTTTTTAATTTATGTTCTTTTATCTTTGGCCATTCACCTTACTGCCCTGATCTTTAAGGAACTGAAATCAGAAAATGTCTGATGTGTGGTGAAGACATCCTTGTGTAGTGAAGACAGGTGCAATATAAATATCTGAACTGCAAGCGAGCCAACTATGGTTTGGCTAAAAAATTAGATTGAGAAAAGCATTATCCTGGTGATCATGGTTAGGTGTTCCCCTGTAATATATGTTGTGTTTACATGGTGAAATGAATCCTGGTTTGCTCAGTTCATTTAATTTTCTAGTATCCTTTCACTTGTAATTTACACAATAATAAAATTGGATTACAGTCCTTTACACAGTTAGGAGTCTCTCTTAATGTAGTGGGATTTTCTTTTGTGAAGATGAATAGAAGATTACATTGTACTGTAGATGGCTTATTATACTTTGTTTACATAATAAAATGTTTAAAAACAAGATTACAAGAAAATTCTAATTTTCTACATTGAAAGAAATTATCTACTCTGTTTTGATCTTTTGGGTTGTTAATTTTGATTGCTGAATTCCAAATAAGGTGTCTCCTTCATGTTTATATGATATTTAAGCCAGAGCAGTAGATTAATGCAATATACTAAACCTGCTCTGGAAAGCAAAAGAAAAAAAAGATAAATAAAAGATAAAACTAGATTTGAAATTCATCTATTGTATAGTATTTTTGGTTCAGATTTCATAAAAGTAGCTTCGCTATTTCTAGGAATAAAGTCATTTGACTTTATACTTACAGCTCTTTCTGTACAAAAATATCTTTAGAAAACTGGAAATTGGCATGAAGTGGGAAAGCAGACTTTTTATATTTGCTATTCGTTTTGACTTGAAGCTTTTAGATGAGTGGGTTACTGTCTTACTAACTTCAAAAATATTTTATGGTGTACATTGATTCAATGAAATTTCTCAGTAATGTTGGAATAAGAAACACATATTTGGCAATTGAAAATTTGAAAATATTACCAGCTTGTTTATGGCAAACACTAACACATTTTTTCTACATCTTTGATGTAGAAAATTTTAGCATGAGACTATTTCTAATTATAAGGTAAACAAGAATGAAAATGTGAATAACTGTGAACTTTTTGCCATCACATTGAAGTAATATCTTAATTTTCAGGCCAAAGGATGGATGGCTGAGAATACACATTAATTTTCAGGCATCTGTTTTTAATCTTATTTTAATTAGAATTTTCTCACTAAAAAAGCGATAACACTGTAATTAGGTTGTTATTGGGGAATAAATCCCATTAATCTTGGTGAGTCATGCTTAATAATCTTTAAGGTTTGGGTTGGGTTTGTTTTGAATTGTGGTATTTTGGGGGGAAGGTTTAAGAATTCTAGACTAGAGGGATATGTTTACATCAGCTAAAATTGATGTGCTGTTGATAGTTTTATACAAAACATGATATAAATTAACTCTTTAAAGCATTCACGAATTAAAATTTAAAACCAGATTGTTGGTAAATAAATTCAATGCATTTTGGATAGTATTGTTTATAAATTCTCCTAATACAGTGGTATATTGCTGATAAGGAAACTTACAATCCTGCTGGCAGTACACAAGTACTATTAAGTGAAATGTATAAATTAATAAGAAATGTATAAATTAATAAATGTATAAATTAATAAGATTTTTAACAGATATGCTTTTTGGTTGTAATTTTTCTGTGGGGAGTCAGGGCAAGCCGAAATCTTCTTTTGATTATATATCTTTCTTTTTGCTTTTATTATAATAAACGTTTGTAGGTCATCAGCTGAGGTTTGTGAAAGGAGTAAAAAAGCTTTTATTGCGAAACCTTAATTTTGAAAGTGTTTCCAAGCAGGTTCACTTAATAATCATTACCTTTTTTTAGGCATCAGGTAAAAATATTTTTCCCCTCTTAAATATTTTTGGACACTGCATTATAATAATTTTCTCAGGTATTGAAAATAGGAATTGTAATAATATCACATTTGCTTATAGCTGTTAAACATATTTATTATATTGGTATTGTAGTGTTTTGTTACATTTTCAACTTCAATTTTCTTGAAAAAGGATGTCATAGAAATAAAATATTTTGACATTAAATTTCACTTCAGCAACTCTGTTTTTTCCATAAGTTGAATCATGGGTTAGTTGTAATTAGAGAGTACCTATTGGAAGACCCATTGATTTAAGTGCTTTTGTGCTAAAGGTATTTGGATCTCAATCCAACCCATTGTTTTGTTTACTGTGTGGAGATTGGGACTTTTTCTCCTTACCAAGTTGTTTCTTTTAAAGGGATTCACCATCATAGTCATAGCTTGGTCTGGACTCTGGAATCATCAATTTCAGTAAAGTAAATAGATAGAGGACAAAGAATAGGTCTATCAAAATGTCATTTTACTACCTCATTAAATTAGTTGAAATAGCAAAGACAAATTTATGCAGATAAGACCAAGTAAATATATTAGTTTGTCTCTATGATATATATAAACAGCCAGCTTGGTATTGTCTGGCATTTCTTCTATCAAGGACATCGTATCATGGAAAAAGCACTGTTCGCCTGATGGCTATGTTATACCATGATGAGTTCAGTTCTGTAATTCTTATTATGTTGTGATTTTTAATCTGAAGAGGAGAGATTCCCTGTATGCTAGAACATTTGGAGGTGAATATTTTATTTGTTATTCTATTTTTCAAATAGAAAAAATAGTGACATTTGTATTTCTCCTCAAGGTCATGTTTGTATTCTAAAATACCTGTTAAATAAACACACAAACATTTACATAAAAACAAGTTTTCCAAACTCTTTCATTTTCATTTGTTTGTATTTCATCTGTGGCTTGTATTTCTTTAATCTTCCAATGCTTTAATTTTTTATTAGCAAAAAATTTTATTATTTAAAATATCAGTAAAAAGAAAGAAAAAAAGAATAGTGACTTGAAATCCAAGTAACAAAAGAAATGCACCATCAGATGCGCCCTCACTTGCATTGTTGTATCTGCTGTAGCTTGCGGCTTAATGGAAAATCCTTGCTTTTCCCCATATGTTAGTATAGTCCAAGGGTAGGCAACCTTGACTCTTTTATGACTCGTGGACTTTAACTCCCAGAATTCCTGAGCCAGCCAAGGTTGCCTACCCCTGGTATAGTCTCTATATTAGTAAAGCCAACATATGTTTATAAAATTGGAATATTAAATGGCTAGAGGCATTGATAGCAAAAACAATAAGCAGTTCCCCAAATACATAAAACATGGATATTGTCTGTTACAGGTTTTGAAGGCAGGAGAGAAAGACACCCATTCTTCACATTGGAGCACTTTTGAAAAAGCTCACCGCCATGGAAGAGGTACAAGATTTAGCAGAACAGCCAGTGAGTATACAAAAGAAACAACAAAAGGGAAGAAAAAAAGGGCTTTCTCTTTCTATGGAATTTTCTAGAGAATAGCTCGTGCATCTTATTTTGTTTGCGGGTGTAAAAAAACAAAGGAATGCAGCACAGATATACTTGATTGAAATATAAAGTGGCTTGCTAATATTTCAATATGTAAAACTAGTTATCTATTTCAGACATGTCAAACACAAGGCCTGCAGGCTGGATGCGGCCCAGGGAGGGCCCAGATTCCCCCCCCCTCCCAGAAATGGCAAGGGACCGGCCCACAGCAAGTGCTCGGGCTGGTGGTGTGCAGCAGCAGCTCATTTACTTTAGCCCGCCCCTTCCCTCCCAGCTTAACCCTGTCATGCCCGGCCATGCCCCACTTTTCTGGGCTTCTCGTGTGGCTCTGCTTTGCCAGACCAGAAAGGGTGAGAAGGAAGAGAAAGCAAGAAGGGTTTCTCTCTCTCTCTCTGTGTGTGTGTGTGTGTGTGTGTGTGAGGGAGAGAGACACACACAGAGAGAGAGCCAGGAGTGGAAGAGGAGGAGGAGGAAGCCAAGGTGTTACAAAAAAGGAGAGCTTTCTCTATTCTTCCATCCCTTCTCTTTTTTTTTTAACTTCCTCCCACTCTGTTCAGGTGCAGCTGAGGAAAAGGATGAGGAGGAGAAAACAGGAAGGGTGTGTGTGTGTGTGTGTGTGTGTGAATGACAGAGAGAGAGAGAGAGAGAGAGAGAGAGAGAGCGCCAGGAGGGGAAGAGGAGGAGGAAGCGGAGGTTTTACAAAAAAGGAGAGCTTCCACCTTTCTCCCCCCTCCTTCTCTTTTTTATTCGTGTGTGTGTGTGTGTGTGTGTGTGTGTGTGTGTGTGTGTGTGTGTGTGTGAGAGAGAGAGAGAGAGAGAGAGAGAGAGAGAGAGAGAGAGAGAGAGCGCAGGAGTTGCAGAGTAAGCACACTTACAAAAAAGGGATCTCTGTCTCTCATACACATACACAGAAACTTGGTGTGCAGGCAGGCGAGAGAGCAAACTTGAAGATTAGCTTTGTGATCTATTCTTGCCTCCTCCCCTCCCTAAAATCCAGGCAATAATAAAACTCTTTGGATTGAATGGGAAGTTAGGAATTGGTGTGAGTTGAAATTAAAAGGCCGAGTCAACTCCCCCCCCCCATTGTTTTGTCGGAGACAAAAATACTTCCCTTCATCTGCTCTTTTATAATTTAATCCAGCCTTACCCGAACTAATATATTTTGGGTGTCATGGACCACAGTTCCCATCATCCTGTGGCTATATTGGTTAGAAATGCAATGCCTTATTTTCTCTGCAGTATGCGCCTAGGAGGCAGTAGGTCTGTGGGATTTAGATGTATTTAAACATTTGTTTCTTCTGCCTAATTTATTAAATCAACATCTAGTTTGAAATTAAAAGTTTCTGAGAAATCCAGGGTGGTTTACAAGAAAACTCTCAAAGACAGCTATTGTAAAGCATCACTAGCACTGCTTAAAACAATATTAAAAGTGTGTATTTTAGGAAAGAAAAATACTAGTAGTAATTTACTTAGTGCTGTTTGACCATAAACTGTGTTGTTGTTTTACATATGCCTGGCTGAATGGTGTGTTTGAAGTTGCCTCTAAACGGGGGAGGCTGCACTGTTCATATTTTCCTTGGGAGAAAATTCTATAATGGGGATGCTTTCTGTGAGAAGGCTGTGCTTGTGGGCACTGTTCTATAAACCAAACCAAGGGGACCATCTGGTCTACATGGATAGTAAACATAGATGATTAGGGGTCTGGAGGCTAAAACGTATGACAGATGTTTGTGGGAATTGGGTATGTCTAGCTTAGTGAAAAGGACTAGGTGTAGTGACATGATAGCAGTGTTCCAATATTTGATGGGCTGCCACAGAGAAGAAGGGATCAACCTATTTTCCAAAGCATCAGATGGCAAATACAGTAATAGATGGAAACTAATCAAAAAGAAAACCAGCCTAGAACTAAGGACTTGTGAAAACAACTAACCAGTGAAAAGGCTTGCCTTCAGAAGTTGTGGATGCTCCATCACTGGAGGCTTTTAAGTAGAGATTGGATATTCCATTGTCTGGAATGGTATACGTCCCCTGCTTGAGCAGGAGCTTGGACTAAAGACCTCAAAGGTCTCTTCCAACTCTTATTCTATGAGAGAAGGGCTGCCAACCTCTCCCCCTCCCCCCCGTCCCTTCCTGGGCACAGAGGGAAGGAAGGAGGGGAGGGAAACAGGAAGAAAGTAAGGGAAGGAAGGAAGGAGATGGGAATGAAAAGGAGAGAGGCAGAGAAGAAGGGGAGGGAGGAAGGAAGGAAAGAAGGAAAGAAAGAAGGAAGGAAGGAAAGGAAGAAAGAGAAAGAAAGAAAGGAGAGAAGGGAGGAAGAAAGGAAGGAAAGAGATTGGAATAAGAGGGAAGGGGGGAGGGTCTGAGGGAAGTCCTGCTTTAGCACTTGGCCACCAGCAGCCCTGTTGCCCTTTTGCCTTCCCCTGGTGGTCTCCCATCCTATTGCTGAGGATGCTTTGGTTACAAAGCCAGGTTTCCTCGCATGGAGAGGGAGTGGGCCTCCCTCTGACCCACACACTTTGTCCTCCTGCACCCACCATGAGCAACCTGGCCAAGGAGAGTGAGCATAGCAGCAGCAGCATTGAGGAGGAGGAGGAGGAGGTAAGTGCAGCTGGGCGCCCCCTCAAGGAAATGCGGCTAGGCTAGGCAGGGATGTGGGGTCCTGGTGCCGTGGGAGCTCAAGGGCCAGGCTGGGTGCTTGACCTCTGCTGCCCAGGGCTCTGGGCAGTCCATGCCACTGTCCAGGGGCCCCTGCACAGCCTGAGGCTCAGTGAGGCTCCTCCAGTGGACCATGCCCCCTGTTCCACCCACTCTTCCCCACCTTCGGATGTGCCCCAGTCCTGCCCAGGCCCGCACAGGTGCCCCTCACCTGAATGACATGGAACTGGCCACGCCCATCCAGTAGGCCACGCCCATGCCAGCTACACCCACCCAGCCCCCCCAATGGCAATCACGATGCTGATGCGGCCCTCAATGAAATTGTTTGACACCCCTGATCTGTTTGATGCCATAATTTGAATTTCTCAGTATTCTAAATCTCTGCCAACCTCAGTAAAATATTTGGATGAAATCAATAAAACCCTAACAATTCAATGCAAATTCTATACTTTTGTGTTTTGACTGTTCTTTGTAATGTCTTTGGCAACATATTTAACTATGAAAAATGGAGAATAAATTTTCTAAATAAGTAATGTTTCTATTTATTCCTGTCCATTGGCCTTAATAAATGATGATGATAAATTAAGATGCCTTAGGTTAACAAGCAACCATTTCATCTAAAATGCCGGTGAAAAACCATTTTTATAATTAAAATTTGCATAGTAATTGGTAATAGCAACGCAATCATCCCAGTAAAGAGTCCCTAGGAAGAACAGGAAATGTATAGCAAACACATTTTAACTTTTTGTATTTCACCTCAAATCCCCCTTACAACAAACAAATCTTTATCCAACTCTAAAAGGAAGAAGCAGTGGACCTGAAATATTTTGGAAGCAAGTAGGTGCATAGCTGTGCTTCTTTCCACCAATCACAAAATAGATCTTTGCAGCATTAATAGATGCTTCTTCAGTTAAAGGCTGGATGGGAGTTTTTCTTATTTTGAGTTTATCACTATAAAGTAAAAACCTACTTTGCAACAACTCATCATCATGGCCATATGAATATAAATGCAAGCACAGGGTTTTTTGAGACCATATTTAGCATATGGTGGAATATTGCTTTTGTTTAAGAATCAGTTAGAAATAATGGGAGAAAATGGTCCTTAGCTGCAGCCTATCAAAATAAAAATAGACCTGCAAATCTTAATCTTTCTGTCCAGACAGATTCAGAAAAAAACAAAGAAAGCTTTGACTTTATTGAACATTGTGAAATTCTGGTTTCCCATTATGAGAGTGAGCCATGACAAAACTTGGATATGTGTATTCTCTTTATTCCCTCCCTGGAGAAAAAAACCTTTGATTTTATACAAGCAGTGTTTTCCATGAAACTAGACTTCGTTAATTGTGATTTGTGCAAACTGATCAGTAAGAATATGCCTGGTTAGACTTTGGCTTCTCCTTGCTAATGTGTACAAATATTGCTGAGAATTAAATTTAAAAATAGAAACTGTCTGTCCCTTTATATTCAGGAAAAAAGAAGAGTATAGGAATGAGAGAAGTGTGTAGACCTAAACATTGCTGTCATAAATCCTCCTTCCTGTTAATATTTGAACTCAGATTTTCTGACTTATACTGTTGTTCATAGAGTTTTTATTTGCTATCACATTGACTAACGTCATATAATACTTGCCTCTGCAGATAAAAAAGGCCAAGATGCAGGAATCAGGAGAACAACTATTAAGGTGTGCAATTCTTGAATTAAAAAAGAAATTAAACAAACCTCATCTAATTTTTGTGGCTTTCTGTACTTTTTTTCAAAAAAATGAAAAATTAGATTTGCAATGTATTTTCTTATTTCTTTTATTTAATATGGACTGGACATGTCCATTAATTCTTATCGTCATCTTTAGCTCTATAAAGTTGGTCACTTCTGTTGATATTTCACTGAGGATGAGGGATTGAGAAAAGATTTGAGCCTTTTCACGTTGAATTTTAAATTTCATTTATTATCTATGCCTAAATTTCATTTAATATCAAGATTAATTAAAGGTAATGCTGAATAAACCATAACTTGAACTATCTTATTTGTTTAACCAGTTCTGCTAGCAGGAGGAACTAATCAGAAAAATTGAAAAACGATCTTATGATTATTTCAGAATTTTAAAGAATTTTGGCTAAAAGATACTTATAAATGTGAATATTGCACATAGTTTTAAGACAGTTAGCCTATGTTTAGGATGATAACAATATTTAATTGATGTGACAAAGATTAAAAAGTACTTCATTGTTTGACTTCATTTTTCAGGCAAGTGAGCAGCACAGACAGTAATGATCAAAAGCCCGAATCCTCAAGTCTTGCTTCAAACTTGTCTATATCCAGTCAAAGTAAGTGATTTCTTTATTTTCCAACTTGATTAGGAGAAGTATTAGGAATTTGGCACCTGAATTATGTCTGTAACACGGTCCTTTTATTTGATTGTTTGATTTGGTATCATTTACCTCCAGGGCAATGTTGGACAGCTTACAATATAATAAAAAGAATAAACAATACAATAAAAAGCAAAGCATATAACAGAAGAATCAGACTAAAAGAGGGGACACCTTTACAGTTGTCATGGATTTACAATTTTTTCAACTATATTGCTAAGCTAGGTTTTTAAAGTCATCTTCCTGCAATCCTTAATATTTAAAAACTTCAAATTTCAAAGTGGGAGCATGAGTAAGCATACCCCATGTATCCCGTGCACCAGAATGCATATTAAATCTGTGCAAAGTGTCCTGAATTTGCTGGGGTGATGAGATTTCCACTGCAGAGGCAGCTTGACTCTTTGTTGAAGTAAAGATGCCTCTTCTAGTCTTCTTCCACTCACCTTAAAGCCAGAAGAATCTTTTGTGCAAGTTTTGGACATGTCATTTCAGTTCTTGGCATGCATATATTAACTTGGAGAAATATGTTCACCACCACAGATCACCAAAGCTTTGGATGAGCTATGCCAAACGAGATGAACAGACACCTACCACAAAACTTAACTAAAAATTTGCATGGCAGAGAGAGAAAAGTAATATGGAAGTTTTGATCTTAGAAATAGTGCAAACTATTTAAACATTTGAAGAATGTTTTGCCTGAGCCTTCATTATACGTTTCTTTTGAACTTTTGCACAGACCTAGTGTCAATTACAGTTAAACACAGCCATACACATTAATGTCATGGTTAAATAGTGTTAAAAGTGTTAAATAACTTTTAAGGTCATTTTTAAATATTGTATTTTGCAGTCATGCCATGCACTGACTACATCTCAAGGTCATCAAATGACTATACCTCACAGATGTATTCTGCAAAGTAAGTTGAATTAAGTTGTTTGTTTCTTCACAATGTCGCAGCAGGAATCTTACTGGGTGTTTGGTTCATGTAGATGTTTAATTATATAATAATACAACTTTTTTTTTCTTACTTCGATGGCATCTTTGTGCATAGGTCCCAAAAGGAACTGTCAGGAGCGAGTGGCTCTGTTCTTTGAAGCCTCTCCAGCTTTTCTGACTAGTTGGGAATATTTGGTCTAACAATTACAGTGCCCCTTCATGACCTATCCCTCTCTTGCATGTACATACACCCAAGACTGAGCAATCTTCTAATAAATATTTCTTAGCTGGTATCAGTCTGTAATTTGGACTGCATGGAGCTTGGGATGGCACAGAACATAGAAAGCTTCACCATTCTGTGCACAGCCCAGAAGGAAGGCAGAGCATTCAGCAATAAATTTAGGAGGTGACATGTTATTAGTTGTCTCTGGGTTCTCTGGCAGCAGTGATGTTACCCAAATCTGCTACAGTTTCCTTCCTTATTAAGGGATCAAGTGTTGACACTATTGAAAGGAAAAGAAGGTAAGGTGATTGCAGCCCTTCTTTGCTCTTTACACAGCTGCTGTTTTAATATTATTGGGATACTATTGAGTTGCAAGATGAGAGTTTCCCACATCAACATGGTGTTTTTCTTTTGCTTTTTACATAGACCATATGCACATGTCCTTTCTGTACCTGTTTCTGAAACGATGGCCTCTTATTCTGGGCAGACTCAATATCAAACACTACCACAGTCCCAGACATACGCAGTTTATCCCCAGACAACCCAAGCCTACGGACTACCTCCTTTTGGTAAGGTTGGCCAGGATCTCTACAGGGCCTTGCAGTCATCTGAGATGTTTGCTCTTATGTGTAAGGTGCACCCTCTAAAGTGCTTTACATAACAGTATTACAAATAGGTATGTTTTGATTATGTATAAGTTGAGAACATGCATTTTGTATAACTTGTGAAACAGGTAGTCTTCGACTTACAACCACAATTGAGCCCCAAATTTCCATTGCTCAGTGAATAATTTGTTAAGTGAGCTTTGTCCCATTTTATGACCTTTCTTGCTACGGTTCTTAAGTGAATCGCTGCCGTTAAGTTGGTACTACAGTTAAGTGAATCTGGCTTCCCCATTGACTTTGCTTGTCCGAAGTTTGCGAAAGAGGATCACTTGATCCCAGGACATTGCAACCGTCATAAATACAAGTCAATTGTCAGGCATCTGAATTTTGATCTTGTGACTATGGGGATTCCGCAATGGTCATAAGTGTGAAATACATTCATAAGTCCCCTTTTTCAATGCTGTTGTAACTTTGAATGGTCACTAAATGAACTGTTGTAAGTCAAGGACTACCTGTACCTCAGACGTCTTCTGTGTAAGCTGCCCAGAGTCCCTTAGGGACACTTGAGAGGGCAGCAAATAAATAAATGGATGTCTGAACCCAGCCACAATTGTCAATAGATGCTGGGAATAGAAGAAACTTACATAGCAACAGTACTCAGACTTATATACTGCTTCATAATGCTTTATAGCACTCTTTAAGCAGTTTACAGAGTCAGCATATTGCACCAACAATCTGGGTTCTCATTTTACCAACTTTAGAAGGATGGAAGATTAAGCTGGTCAGGATCGAACTGCTGGCTGTGGCCAGAGTTAGCTTGCAATATTGCATTCTAACCACTGCGCCACCATGGCTCTCAGGAAGATTGCAGTAGAGAAATGGGTCCTGTTGCATTTTATGTGATAGAGCATAAATTGGCCAATTTAATGTCTTCTGATTTGCTTTATTCTGAGGACTGTACTCTTTGGTGTACTCATGTATGCATAAGTATCATATACTCATCTCTAATGTATCATGCAACAGTAATTATCAACTGAGTGAATTTAGAATCTCTCCCTCCTGTTCTTTTCCCCAAGCAATTTTAGAAAGAGGCAGCTGTCTGGTAAAATCACCCAACTGAGTCACTATGGCTTGCTGTAGGGCAAACACAATAATCCAGAGGCATTGAGCTTAGGAGGAGCCTGGTCAGCAGTGCCTGCTCAATCCTCTTTTCTCAGGAAGGCTTGGGAATTAACCTTATCGCATCTCTTCTGATTTATTGTCTAGCTTTCCTTTTTCTTCTTCCTTGGCCCTGCTGCTTCACTCCCTTCCCCGCTTCTCCAGGCTTAGACCTCAGACTTGCACATGCAAATTTAACAGCTCTCTACCTGTAAGCCGGGCGTTTGTGTCATTTGTTCACCTCGGTGAAAAGAATTTGGTGGCCTGGCTGACCACAGCCAGTTTTGTTTATAATGGGTGCAATTTATCTGATTCAGGTGCACTGTGGCCAGGTATGAAACCTGAAAGTGGTTTAATTCAGACTCCATCTCCAAGTCAGCACAGTGTTCTTACCTGCACTACAGGGTTAACCACAAGCCAATCCAGCCCAGCACATTATTCTTACCCTATTCAAGGTAAAGGTCGGCATGGTTTTTACTTACGTACCTCTTCCTGTAACCTGGTCAAGAAGCCACAAAGGGGCCAGCACGTTTTCATCTCTGTTTTGTGCATGCTTCTCTTTGCTTGGCAAGCTCTGCTTCTGCCACCTCTCTTGCTCACCGTTTGCCTGCCTCTCTGCTCTACCAGGTGAATTTTACCACGCTCTGCTTTCGAAACCCTCATAGAAATGGGGAGAAACCATCTGGGTATGGGTCACGTGCATGTATACAATTGGCTAAAAAACAATGGTGATAATAATGTCCTTATTCAGCATGCAGTGTTTGCCGTGTGCTTAGGTTTACAAGAAAAGCATAAAGGTTAGCTTTATCAACCTGCAGTAACTTGATTTCTCAACAATAAGGATCTGCAAATCACTTCTTAATCAACATTAAAATCCATCAGAAGTTTTCAAAGTTGCAATAGAACTATTCAGATCCTTTACTCAACCTGCCATTAAAATTAAGCTGCAAGGAATAGAATGTTCTTTTGGTTTCTAATAGGCAATTTTCATTAAAAGAAGAAAAACCTCAGCTTGTTGAATGGGCTGAATACGATTCAGAAATACGTGATGGTACATTGCATTTAAAAATACAACATAGACAGTAAGTGACTCTAGCTATCATTGAGCAGATCTCTTTGACTAATTGCAAGCAGGGTGAAAACAGGAGAAGGAAAAACTGGAGTGTTTTCCAGACAGATTCTGTGACGTGGCATTAAAAAAGAAATAAGCAACTCTGAACATTTGATACCCCACAGAAGTAGGAAGGAAATGCAATCAGACTGCTGCAGTATATCTTACCCGAAAGGAGCATCCCTAAGTGGATTATGTCACTTTGTGGAATGACAGGAACAACAATGTGTGTGTGTGCGTGTTTGTTTTTCATTAGTTGATTAAGAATTGTAAGTTTCAAGATACCAATGGGATATAGCTTTGATGACATAAAGTAATTTTATATTGCATTGAAGTATGTCATCCACTTTAAGAATTAAATCATTTATTTTAAAGTTCTCTTGAAGGCTGCAGGCAGCTGTTGTTTGGGGTAAAGAGGCAGTTTCACTTCAGTACTGAATTTCTTGACAAAGAGACGGTTCTTCTATTTGTTTATTGTATCTGATTTAGAGTAGGCCATCTATAAGTGCTTTTGGTTTCAGTGGATTTAAGCTTGCCAACCTCTGGCTTGGATCTGGAATGGAACAAATTAACCTATCTGTTGTGTGTTGCAATTGTTAATAATCAGCATGATATGTCACCTGGAACAACATGTGGTAGTGTGTCTTTGTACCCTAATGAGGGTTCTCTTCATACTATTCTCTCAGCTGTCTTCCAGGTTCCATTTTTTTCCCACCTGATACTTACGATTATTAAGCAACTTAGGTTTCCTAAGGCTATTTCTGATTGGGTGCCCTGTTAATTTATTTTGGGATAGTAGTTCTGAAAGGACTTACTCATAGAGTGTCATCACCTGCCTGTTTTCAATGGCCGTCTTTTTAGTTCTAACCCTCTTAGAAGCAGGCTGAATGGTAATAATGTTGATCCAAGCAAAATCAGACTTGAAATCATTAGGACAAGTTTGTAACGCAACTGATTGCAGCTTCAAGTACCAGTGCAATCCTATACATACTTTCCAAACTGATGCCGCCTTCTACATAGTTTGGACTTAAAGCTCCACCATTCTTTAGCAAATATGTCACCTGACATTTAGCAAAGATTGCAAAAGATTTCCATTGATGTCTGTTCAGAGGTAGTTTTCACTGACTTATATAACACTCATTCTTAGATTAACTTGCATAAATTTATACATTTAAATTACACAGTTTAATAGAACTAATTGCTTATGCTGTGGTTTCATGGTATGTATTTGTGAGAAGAACAAATTACATTCATGTAGCATTTTTTTAAGTAAATCCAAAAGGCATTTAATTATTTTGAGAAGGAAGAACAGCTGCATGGTTATGTCTCAGTGGGACATGGTCATTTTGTCTGATGTTTCTGTGAATTCCTTTCATGAAGAGAGACATAGTTCGAACTAAAAGATCCTGGAAATGTTTCATTTTCCTTCTGTTAGGTAGTTTTAACAATCCTCTGCATTTTAATGACATGGATTAATACACAGTCTTCTTCTGAACTTCTTACAGCTTCAAGTTCCAATGCCAACTCAATTTCCACTTCCTCGCCTGCTGTCAATATTTCAGCTGCCACCGCCAGCATCTCTCAACAGGTATATAATCCTCCTGTATAAGTTAGCCTGTTCATTGTAATGTATTTTATTCCATGCTCCAATATATTTAGCAACTGGATGATATGTGACAAATAATAATCTGATTTTATGAAATGTGTAAGTATCCCATCTGAGACACATATCTCGCTGTCTTTTCCTGTGTTATTTGTTACAATGCTGACCAGTTCAGACTTTCAGGAAAAAAAAAGAACCAAGAAGCATTAGCTTGATTCCGGAATGGAACAACTTGCCGTGGCCAATGTGCCATAAGACAACTTACCACGGCTATCTCAGACCATGGGCCAGCTTGCTGTGGGACAATTCAACAATTCAATTTAAGTATTTAACAAAATTTTAAAAAAATATTTTAATTTTTGTCACTCACATTTCATTTTGTCCCTCTTTTTGCCTCCCTTCTTTAATGATTCTCTTCCACCATTTCTTTGATATTAGTGCAAATCTTGTCCCATGGCGAGTTGTCCCGTGGCAAGTTGGCCATAGCCCGCCTGATTCAGCCTTAAGTGTTGTAATTCTGATTTTTTGTTTGTTCGTTTGTTTATTTTGGCTTAGCTGTCAATTATATTTAATATCAGCTAGTTCCCACATCCTTGCTAGGCATAAAAGTTGTTGTCCAATATACCTAAGGAGCAATAGGATGGTAAATATAATATTTACAGAACAAAATAAAGTTTGTTAGGTCAGTGACCACTGCAAAGATAAGGTTTAAATATGTAACAGAGTTCCTCTGAGAAGTGAGTTCACTTTAGAATTACACTATCTAGCTCCAGATGACCTGTTTAAAAGCAACATGGAGTTTTATACAGTCCCTGTGTGGATCACCTAGCCAACCTTGTCTGAATTCCAAAAAACGCTAAGCATGGTTGGCTCTGATAAGTATTTGATTGGGCTATCATCAAGAAATCCCAGGTCTGTAGCTATGGTTTAAAAATTCCTGAAAGAAGGCAGTTATACATCACATCCATATAGTATTTCTTATGTCTGCCTTATAGGGTAGACTACACTAAGAAACTAAGGGCATATAGGTCTAAAACCACTTTTATTAGAATAGCTGTAGTAATAGAATCTTGCAAGTCTGAATGTGCTTCCCTCCTCCTTCATTTTATCTAACTTGCCATCATCCTATATAGGCTGTTGAGAGTTGTAATTGCCATAGCTGGAATGCAACAAGACAGAGAAGACTATCTAATACAAACTGGTTTTAAGATTCTTTTAGCACTTGACAACTGCGTATTTTCCACCATTCTTTGCCCTCTTTCAGTTCTTATTTTTTTCTTAAAGGAGTATCCTACTTACACCATCCTTGGCCAAAGTCAGTACCAGCCGTATTATCCCAGTTCAAGTTTTGGCGTGATAGCAGCAGCAGACAGCAGCACAGAGACCAACACATTAACATCTGCCACATATCCTTCGGAAAAATCAAATGCCATGGTGCCTTCCCAGACGGTGCAGAGACATTCCTCTGGTAAACTCATGGGGGAAGATGGATTTGTAAATGCTTTTTAGATCAGTATTTCTTAACCTCAGAAACCTTTAAGATGTGTGGACTTCAAATTCCAGAATTCCCCCAGCCAATATGCTGGAGCTAAAGGATGGCGGGAGGATGTAAGGCCTCAACTATATATTAAATTGTACCACAGAAGTGCATTTATGTTGATCCTAGCAACGCCTATTCCTTTTATTGACAATCTGTAACTGAACCAGGTAGAAAAGTTCTCCTATCAAGAGGACCCCTCAAATTGAGAGAATAGATTGAATTTCCCATTGAGTTACCCAGCAAGAATGTAACTCAAGTTCTGATTTGTGCTGATTCAAAGTTAGCGCTGCTTCCAATCATTCTGTTACCCAGCTGCCCCATTAGGATAGATTATTTTAGTGTTCATTGCAGATTTGTTCCACTATCTGGAATAAATGGGTTGTCATCTCCGCTCATCCTGAAGTCCAGATCATTAAACCTTCTAGATGCTACTCTGCAATATTGCAAGATAGCATTTTAGAAAAGGAAGGGGTGGGTGTACTCTTAAGGAAAGGCATTGCACTGTTAGAGCAAAAACTGGAAAATGCTGCAGATGCCAAAGCTGGACAGTGAGGCAGATGCCTCCTTAGGTGGCATCTCATTCTAAGAACACTTTCCCTATGGAGAGTCTTGATGCTTTTTCTGGATTTTTCCTATGGCGCATGGTTAGAATGCAGTATTGCAGGTAAACCCTGCCCACTTCCAGGAGTTCAATCCTGACCAGCTCAAAGTTTACTCAGCCTTCCATCCTTCCAAGGTCAGTAAAATGAGGACCCAGATTGTTGGGGGCAACATGCTGACTCTCTAAACCCTCTTAGAGAGAGCTGTAAAGTATTGTGAAGCAATATATGTGCTATTGCTAACATGTCTTTAAAACTTTCATTTTATGCTTTCATTAATTTCAAGGCCCTTTTTATTATCTTTTTGCTGTTTTACATGCTTACTTGCCTGTGTTCTTTCATTTTCTTTATTAATTTTTATTTAAAGATTGTTAATTTGAATTATGTAAGCTGAACTGGAATACGGTATTGAAGGCACAAGATACATAAAAATTGCTGTTCTTTTTCTTCTAGGTGATCCATCTACCAGTCCATCATTGCCAAGAGCGACTGCAAGTAAACATGTAGATGAGCAATCTAGAAGAAACATGACTGCAAAAAACAGAGGCAAGAGGAAAGCAGACGCTTCTTCACCGCAGGACAATGAGCTTGAAGTTTGTGTTTGCCATTTTTCTCCCTTTCTTTCTTTCTTTCTTTCTTTCTTTCTTTCTTTCTTTCTTTCTTTCTTTCTTCCTTCCTTCCTTCCTTCCTTCCTTCCTTCCTTCCTTCCTCCCTCCCTCCCTCCCTCCCTCCCTCCCTCTCTCTCTCTCTCCTTGGAAATTTGAATTAATGGAAAGATATTAAAGTTAGGCAATTGTACTCTGCGAATCTAATGGGGAAATTGGTCTGTTTAACTTTCTCTTTATTACTATAAAACATGAAAAATTAGCTAAGCTAAATAGGACTTCAAATTGAAACATGAGATCACTACTTGAGTATGAACATCAAATGAAGTATTGTGATACAAAAAGGATTTGAAAATTCTGGATAAGGATGAGGGCGACACCTGTTGAATAAGGAATGCCAGGAACCCAGTTTCTTTTCCTCAAAACAGGGACCATCAATCAACAGGTGTCACATTGCAGTCTAGACAGTAGAACTGATGTATATTTGTCTCAATCTCTTCAGAGGTTCATCTTCATTTCTGAAGTTCATAATCTAGTCGTCCCCTCCCCCCAAAAATCCAGTTTCCTCCTACAGAGTCAGATGTAATTTGGTAGTGATGTATACCAGAAACAAATGCTTTCCCCTGTCAAAAGTTAAGACTCTTATAATCTTTTAACTCTTATAACTCTTTTAACTCTTATAAGACTCTCATAACTCTTATAACCTTTTAACAGCATGTGGTTTTGTTTTGTTTTTACAATAGCCAGAACAGGATAGGGGTGTTTTTGAGGCACTTGAGGGTGGGTGGACAACCAACCACCACCAAAATTAACTTATTTCATTTCTGCTTCCTTCCTCAGAGAGTATTTCTGTGGGACTTGGATGAGACCATCATAATATTTCATTCTCTTCTGACAGGCTCATATGCCCAAAAATACGGGAAGGTATTGATTTTTTGCTGCTGTTGTATTTACTATAAAATGTGTAGATGATTTCATCTACTGTCTAGGTTAAGCCATCAAAAGGATAAGATTGGAAGTTGACGTTGAAACATCTTAAAGTTGGGAAAGTTGGGAAACATAGATCTCGAGAAATGACCAATGCTATATTCCCCCCAAAGGAAAAGTTAGCACCTGGGATCTAGATCAAGGGAGGGCTTCTTTAGGAGGTGTGATACTAGTACCTCCTTCAAGGGTACCTCGTGGTGGTGCATGATAGCATCTTTTTAGGTTGGAACAAAGAATTTTAAATCATTTTTCCTTCTCTTTAAAGTTTTGACTATATTCCCATGCATGTGTATATTTCTGACTTCCATATACAGCAGCCTATCTTAGAATGCCAGAAAATAGCAGTAGAGTTTTTATGATGTATGCAAACCTGAAAGGTTCCATCCAAAAGTATCTGCAGGGAGGAAGGAGGGGGGAAAAGTCAAGGTGGGGGGGGGTAGGCAATCAAAGCCCCACCCTTTTTTGTATCACAATAAATGGAAAAAATTGAGGGCTTTGATTGGATGATTGTAGTCACCACCTTGCCTTCTTTTACCCCATCCCCATCGGACATTACTGGTTCTATCCTTAAGAGCTGCCTAAAAGTATTTTTATGTATAGTAGTCCTTGACTTACGATCGTTTTTCAGATTTATGACCATTGCAGCATCCCAAGAGACATGATCAAAATTTGGAAGCTTGGCAATTGACTCGTATTTATGATGGTTACAGTGTCCCAGGGACATCTGATCACTTTTTGCAACCTTCTGACAAGCAAAGTCAATGGGGGAGCCCGATTCTCTTAACAACCGTGTTACTAACTGAACAACTGAAGTGTTTCACTTAACAACAAGAAAAGTCATAAAATGGAGCAGAACTCACTTAACTGTCTTGCTTAGCAGTGGAAATTTTGGGCTCAATTGCTGTTGCAAATTGAGGACTACCTGTACATTAATAAAAATAAAACAAGTAATTCACCTGATAACACTTGTATTTGCTGCAAGCTTCTATGAATGTATTTTTTGCATTAGAATGTCTGATGTCTTGTGAATTTTTTAATATCATCCCTTCAGAAAGACTTTCTGTTCTAACTTTTAGGATCCCAGTTTAGTTGTTGGCTTTGGTTTGACAATGGAAGAAATGATTTTTGAAGTGGCTGACACACACTTGTTTTTCAATGACTTGGAGGTAGGCAAATTCTGACTTTACATATCTTGGAATGTCATAATTGCAAGTCTGAACTTCCAAATTAGTCAATTAAGATTAACAGTAGGAGATCTATGTTCTTTCAATATTAGTTTCGTTTTTTGATAGCATTGTAATCAGTGGATTAATAGCACCCTCTTTTTTATTAGAGATGAAAAAAGCATTAAACTCAGATCTGCATCAGTCCTCTAAATTGCTTTAAAGCAAGGGTGTCAAACTGCTGGCCCATGGGCCGGATGTGACACATGGAAGCCACGCCCACCCCATTGCCGGCAATAGCAAACGTCGCGAGTTTGACATGTCTCTTTTAAAGTATAATTTTGAGGAGTATCATGGCTTATTGTTTTATCATTGATCATGTTATCTTTAAATGAGCATAGAGATCAAACAGAAGTCTTCCATTATCTGAAAGATTTACATTAGGACTGCAATCCACAGAGACAAAACTGGCTAGGTAGGAATTCTAATCATTAAGCAGGCAACTGATTAGGGAAGAGTGCATTGAATGTTATTGCTAGTTAGCAGAGATCATGATTGGGCATCATAGATTTCTTCCTATCTTTTCATTACAGGAATGTGATCAAGTACATGTAGAAGATGTTGCATCAGATGACAATGGCCAGGATTTAAGGTGTGGATCTCAGGGATTAAAAGGGACAATATTGATATTCAGGGATTAAAAGGGACAATATTGATATTCGTGTGTGTGTGTGTGTGTGTGTGTGTGTGTATGTATATGTTTTCTGAGGTTTTCGCGGGTGTTTGTATGTAGGTCTTTGGTTGTTCGGGTTTTCTCCCGCGTAAAATTGGAAGTGTCTTGGCGACGTTTCGACGAAGTCCCATTCGTCATCTTCAGGCTGGTGCTTCAGGCTGGTGCTTCGAAGCACGAAGCTGAAAGCACCAGCCTGAAGATGACGAATGGGACTTCGTCGAAACGTCGCCAAGACACTTCCAATTTAAAAACAAAATGGTGATTCCTGGGTAGATTCATGTTAAATAATAAAATATACGAACACCAGGAAATTATAAAATTATAAAAAGTTTTAATAGAATAAAACCAAGCTTTCACTGGCAACTGCCAGCATCATCAGGGTAGCGCCCAGTCGATGGGAGAAGCTATTTATAAATGTGGCACTCTTTGCGCCCGGCTTCTTGACCTCGTCATAGGTCCCAGCCAATCCATCTGCGTTTTGATCGTAGTTTCTGTATTGCAAGCTGTAATTTCCTCACTTTCTTTGCTTGTGCCGATACCACAACTCTTCCTCCCTTCTTCATATAACCGTAAATCGGGGGGACCCTTTAATTCTACGTAGTTAAATGTGCACTGTCTGTGTTTATGTTGTTTATTCTCCTCATCCTCCCTCTTAGTATTCCCTATCTTCGTTCTCCTCCCCCTATCTCTCTGTTTACGATCCTCCTTCACAACTATATCCTCATTGTTCGTCTCTGTAGCCCAGGATTCCATTGTGTTCGTATCATCCTGTTTCCCGATCTCTCGTATCGCTCTGTTAACTCCCCTTTCTATTTTTTCTTCAACGGGGGTAATTTTAACATCCTCCCCAGAATTCGTGGCACCCACAAGTTGGTTGTTAACCCCTTCTCCCGAGGGGGCTGTCCCCTCACTGCTGTTTATACATTCGTCCATTACTTGGGGGTGTGCAACCCTCCTTAAAGGGAGAGAGGCAGGGTCCTTGCGATCATGATTTGCACCTCCTTGTACATTCCTACGGGGGTTCGTTCCTCTCAAATGTCTGTGGGAGCGTGTAGAGGCTCTAAGATTGTAACAAACAGCCTCCCCATCTTCCCGTAGTTCTCCTACATTCCCAAGACGAGAGCAATTCAATAGGGAAATGTCGTGGGCGGAGTTAGTTGCAGAGTCGCTGGTGGAGTTGCACGTGACATTCCGGTCATTCAATTCATGGTTGTTTAGTAGTCTGGAGTCCGTACAAGATCGCTTCTTTGCCAAACTCCTCGCTGTTCCTGGGGAGACCCTCAATTCATCGGCAGTTGGCTCTTGGTTGTCAATACGCTCCTGCGCCTATGGGAGATATGTTTCCGCAGGCGGAGAGTTACTCAGCTGCTGGTTATTCCCTATCCGGGCATTTCCAAGGCTCGTCTCCTCCATCAACCCTCTTTGCTGAAGGCACGTTATAATATTACGTTGTTTTCCTCCGGAGGAACGGTCACGCATTGCCCATGCTCTTAATGTTACGTGTGCTGGGCATAGGTCCACATGTCGGTTGATGGATTCCTCGTTGGAGAGCCAAGCTTCTTTAAGGAGCCGGCCCCCCTTCGTGTTTTCACTGGCCATCACCTGCACGTTATTAAAATTGAACCTATGCCCAGATTCCAGCATATGCGCTCTGATTTGGGAATATTGATCACCTCTCCTTACCGCCAACCTGGAATGCCCTGGAATGTGAAGTATGTTTTTAGACATACTTCTAATAAATTTATAAGGTCTTGAGGCCAAAGATGGTCCTGCTGATAACCTGAACCCTTTTGCTCAAGAAGATCTTTTATCGTCTTGATGGCCAGATCTTGTGGGATAGAGGTGAAGAGGGAGACGATGTCGAAAGACACCATCACCTCATCATCCTCTATCCTCAGAGACCTGATCCTATTAAGGAATTCCTCAGCAGATTTAACGGTAGTAGAACTACCTTCAACCAAATGACTGATGCGATTGCTCAGCCATTTGGCAAGGCCTGAGATCGGAGTATCCCTAAATGCCACAATAGGGCGAAGGGGGACACTCTTCACCTCTATCCCACAAGATCTGGCCATCAAGACGATAAAAGATCTTCTTGAGCAAAAGGGTTCATGCTATCAGCAGGACCATCTTCGGCCTCAAGACCTTATAAATTTATTAGAAGTATGTCTAAAAACATACTTCACATTCCAGGGTTTGAACAGGTTAAGGGCACTCCCATGGGGTCACCGATCTCCAGCATCATAGCGGAGGCAGTGTTGCAGCAATTGGAGCACGTAGCGATAGCCCAGTGTTGTCCTAAATTCTGGGCTCGCTACGTAGACGATACATTTGTCATCATTAAGAGGAGCCAAAAAGCTGGCTTTGTGGGCATGCTTAACTCGGTGTGCGTGGATTTGCAGTTTACGGAAGAAAGAAGAGCACCAGGGTGAGTTGGCATTTCTTGATGTCCTGGTCCATCGCCAACCTAATGGAACCCTGAGGACCAGGGTCTATCACAGACAGAATTCTGCACTATGACAGCAACCATCCAGTAGCCCACAAGGCCAGCTGCATTAGAACACTCTTCAAGAGAGTAGGCTCCCACTGCAACACTGCTAAGGCTAGGATGGAGGAAAAGAAACACCTTTTTAAGGTGTGCAGGCACAATGGCTACCCCATGAAGTTCACCAGGCGCCATGGACTACCATCCAGACCCCCCCTCCCCGTTAGGTCTCAAATAGAAGAACATACATCACAGAGACTTCGCATTGCTCTCCCTTACATTAGCAACGTCTCAGAAGCCACGGCTAGGTTATTAGCACCCTATGACGTGAGAGTGGCTAAAAACAAAATATATGAATGTTGAATGTTTACAAATTGAAATACTGTTCTTTAGTATGAACTTTGGATTTTCTTATTGAAAAGGGAAAGAAAGTTAGCAGAATAACCATGAGCATTCAGCAACATTTAATTCCTCCTTGTGAATAAGGGTGTTTTAGAGCCTCAAAGCACTTGATTGACAGACCAAGGCAATTCTTGCATACAAGGAATTCAGCAGGATGCTAAAAATAGAAATGGTGTTCAACAAGCTAGGGCATCCTCTGAAAGAAGGGCAAGCGATCTAGAATCTTTAAACAATAACTATTAAAATCCAGATTGTGAGGTACATGTAACCCAAAGGCTTCCTTTTCTATTCCAGCAATTACAATTTTTCCACTGATGGCTTCAGCGGTTCAGGAAGTAATGCCAATCATGGTTCAACAGGAGTCCAGGGAGGAGTAGATTGGATGAGGAAGCTGGCATTTCGCTACCGGAAAGTACGCGAGGTCTATGATAAATACAAAAACAATGTTGTGGGTGAGTATCAGCAGGTTTCTTATACTGTTTCTACAGGAGGCGAGACTCTTCTATTAAAAATTATTAAGCTTCTGGAAAGAACCAGAATCAGCCATCCATCCAATAGTGTCTTTGTTGTTCATTAGCCATTTGGCCATATCAAAATACAAAATATAAAACATAGAACATTAATAAGACAGAAATGGAATAAAAGAAACAGATTAAATAAAAAGAATAAAATAAAAAAATGCAAATTTTATGTCAGTATATCACCCCGTACTACAGTTTATCCCAATCAGACCCACCTATGCAGATTTCAGCTGAACTGTTTTATTCAAATAGAGCCATCCATCCAATTTTGGCAGAATTGGAGCAGGACTTCAATAATGTTTTGAAAGGTTATTAGCATTGGGGTAATTGCATTAAAATGTTCACACTTGACATACACAGTCTTCTGGAATGCAACCAAGGGCTATATCATAACCTTGGTGTAACATGCTTCTCCTTGAGATGATGTTCTAGAAACATGAAATATAAATAAATAAGATAAAGATCTTTCCCAGCACAGTTCTCTTCAGTTTTTTCATTGAATACACTCCCAGTGTACCCCCAGTGGCCTTGCTGGCTATAGAATTCTGGGAATCGAAGTTCACACATCACAGATCTGTCCAGGAAATTCCATTTTTTGTGAAGTGCCGTCAGAGGGTTTACTTTCACACAGAGCTTTTTAACCACACCAAAGCTATCCTCTTCTTAATCAATGTTATTTTTCTCCCTGTGATAAAAATATATCCCCCACTTCCACCATTATCTCTATTCATATGTCATGAATTTGTGAAAGTCATTTCACAAATAATTTTTTTTAAAGAAGGGTAAGGCTGATGGTAATAGGAGATATTTTATAAGCATCTGTTTATGAATTTGACTTGGTTTTGACTTATTGCAGAAAGACAATTTGGAAATGAAAATCTTTAAAAAAATGGTCTTAGTATATGAAAATTGTATTTTCTGCTGTTTTCATGAAGACATCTCCAAATTGGAAAAAAAATCCCAATTTATTGAATGCAGAAATCACAAAGTTGGTCCCTGACACTAATGACATTTCTATTTCTTGATCAACTTCATTTGTTTTTTTTTCCCTCTAGCTCTCCTCAGTTCTGAAAAAAAAGAAGCACTACAGCGTTTAAGGGAAGATATAGAAGCGTTAACAGATTCTTGGTTGGGAACAGCGTTAAAATCCCTCCTGCTCATTCAGTCCAGGTACAAAAATGAGAATCTATTGTAGCAGAATAGTTTTGGTATAGTACCTGCTGCCACATTTGTGGGAGATGAAGTGTCTCATAAACAGCATAGTGTTAGAAGTGTCCAACCTGAATCCTAAAGAGATGGTCAGGTCTCACTGGAGAACCTTATAACTGGGCACCCAAACTTAAAGGTCACATATGAATAAGATAAGTCAGAATTGTTTAGAATGTTTATATAACCGTGGATGACCTTGTGGTGATACACTCTTTGTTCTTCTTGCCAGTAGAATTCTGGAATAAGTATTCTGCTCTTGTAAGCCAACTATGGTTTGTTCATAGCTTATTAAGAGCAAGCCAGATTCCAGGTTTGCATACAACATTGTCTAAATTTGTCAAACGTCTAGGCCAATGGTCTTCAAACTTGGCCCTTTTATGACTTGTGGACTTCAACTCCCAGAATTCCTCAGCCAGCGTGCCTGGCTGAGGAATTTTGGGAGTTGAAGTCCACAAGTCATAAAAGGGCCAAGTTTGAAGACCCCTGCTCCAAGCTTTGCAGGAGAAGCAATATATTCATCTGCTATTCATTCATGATTAAAAATTCTCAAATACTGGCCTCCTGCCATGACTAATTGTGGCCATTGCTGCAGAGGAGATTTAAATTGAGCTTCCTTTTCTGTTATTCTTTTCCCAATGCATCTAGTCTTCAGTTTGTAGATTTTTTTCTTTGTCGTTTGTGTAATAGGTCTTTTACAAATAAAAGCAAAAATACATGTCCCACATATATCTTTTTTTCCTCCCTCTTGTTTTTCCTCCAGAAAAAATTGTGTGAATGTACTGATAACAACCACTCAGCTAGTGCCAGCTCTGGCCAAAGTCCTGCTGTATGGACTTGGTGAAGTGTTCCCCATTGAGAATATTTATAGCGCTACAAAAATAGGTAAGTGAATTACATCAAATTCCTCTGGGTGGTGTTAGGAATTCCCATTGAATGCAAACTGAATATGAAAAGAAAGAAAGAAAAGAAAGAAAGATTGAGAGAGAAACCATCACAGTCAAGTATTTCTTTGTTTTAATCACAAGGAAAGTGTGTCTCTTCCTGGCAGGTAAAGAGAGCTGTTTTGAACGAATTATCTCTCGATTTGGAAAGAAAGTGACCTATGTGGTGATTGGAGATGGCCGTGATGAAGAATTGGCAGCCAAACAGGTGACTGTGGGCTTCATTCTTTTTCCCCTCTTAGCACCCAGGATGGTCTATTGTCTGTTTCTGCTAGCTCTTTGACTGCAGCTTCTGCTTCAGAGCTATCTAGTGCCTTGGCCACCCCTCACCCGGGCACATCCATAGATCTGAAAACACCTTCATGACTGACGGGCTGTTAACCTTTGCTTTCTTGGGTGACTCCAACCCTCGGAAAATACAGTATTACATTTGTCCATATTAGTCAGCCCCATTCAGATTACGGGCGTGTATTCTTGCTGCACGAAGACAGCTGAGTGTGGTGGCTAAAATGTTGGGCTTGGTTGGGGAAACCCAAATTCAAGTCTCCATGGACCAAGTAGCTAACATTGTGCTAGGCATACTCTCTCGGTCTAATTTATTTCACCGGGTTCATATGCACTAAAAATGAGCAGAGAATCTTGAGTTCCTAGAAGGACGGTGAAATGTTGTTGTTGTTGTAAGTAGTAGAAGTAGTAGTAGTAATAATAATAATAATAAAGTTGGAAGGGACCTTGGAGGTCATTCAGTCCAACCCCCTGCCCAGGCAGGAAACCCTACACTATTTCGGACAAATGGCTGTCCAGTCTCTTCTTAAAAACTTCCAGTGTTGGAGCATTCACCGCTTCTGGAGGCAGGTTGTTCCATTGGTTAATTATTCTAACTGTCAGGAAGTTTCTCCTTAGTTCTAGGTTGCTTCTCTCCTTCATTAGTTTCCATCCATTGCTTCTTGTCCTGCCTTCAGGTGCTTTGGAGAATAGCTTGACTCCCTCTTCTTTGGGACAGCCCCTGAGATATTGGAACACTGCTATCATGTCCCCCCTCGTCCTTCTCTTCATTAAACTAGACATACCCAATTCCATACCCCATTCCTCATATGTTTTAGCCTCCGGTCCCCTAATCGTCTTTGTTGCTCTTCTCTGTACTCAATGCGATAAATAACGAAAGGATAAGCCAGGGGTCAGCAACTTAAAAGGGTGAAAGAGCCACTTGGACCTGTTTCCCTCACAAAAGAAAAAACTGGGAGCCACAAAATGCGCACACACATAACGGGGCTTGATTGAAGAGTGGAGCCTAAGGCGACACATGCACCGGTCCTGCCCCTGTCCAGCTGTGGTATGGACGGCTCTGCCGTCCTGGCTTCTCCTCCCCTCGGAAAAGATTGCTCTCCCTCCTTTGTTGAAGCGGGAGCGGGGTGGCTTCCCTTGGGCATGGCGGGGCTGCTGGAGGCTGAGGCCCCCAAAGGCGTAGACCAGGCTATCTTCCATAGCGGCGGGAAGGCGACCGTGGGAGCAACAGCCTGCTCATCTCCCCCGGCGGTGGCGGTGGCAATTGCAGAGCCATCTGGTGGTGTTTACACGGCCCTTCATCCACATGACTGAGATAGGCAGCGCTGCCCCGCCCCACCCCGCCCTCATTTCCCCGGAGCAGAATTGGGGCCGCACCAAAGTTGCCGGCTGAAAGTGGTGCCTTGGATTACCCAAGGACGGCGCTTTGGAGAAAGGCCGGAGCGCGGCACCCTTGCCAGAGAACTAGAGTCAGCCCCACTAACTAACATGTGAACCCCATGCTAAGAACAGCCCTGCCTAAACTGAGCTCAATCGGACAGGAAAGTTCCAATCCGATGGATGCTCCTGCGAAGTCAGCTCGGTCATTGGGATCAGTGGGCTTGGTGCCACCCACCCAGTTCAGTGGGCTTGGTGCCACCCACCCAGCTATTAATCCAGGACCAGGCAGCGATTGGCTTGCAATCGGTTGAACAAAACAGGTGGATAGGATTGCAGCCAACGATAGTAGGACGTTAGAGCTGCCAACTCTGGTCTCCACCCGGGCGGGCGGGCAGAACCCCAAAACCTTTCACGTTCGTTTGCAAAGAGAAGACACCGGTGGCGCATGGCCCGGGGGGGGGGGGGGAAACGGCTCCAGAGGGAGGCAGCCACGCAGCCAGAAGCTGGCGGTCCCAGCGGAGCGGCACGGAAGACCTACTGGTTGGTGTGGGAGGCTCCAGCGTTGCCGGTGAGCAAGGCCTGGCATCTGCAGCCCAGTTGCGTACCCCAACAACCAGCTGGACCAGCTTTCACTGCTTCTTTGCAAACGAACGCAAAAGGTTTCAGGGTTTTGCTCTCCTGCCCGCCCGGATGGAGACCCTGCGCCTCCCCTTCTCCTGCGGCCGGGGAAAGAGGGCCGGCCCCGAGTCTGTCCTGGAGGACTTTTTAGGCCCCGGATACCCCCCCCCACGCCCTCCCCCGTCAGCCCAGGGCCAGGCACTGCGGCTCTGCAACAGGAGGGAACCCTCCGGACCTTCGGTTTTCCTGGCTTGCCAGCAAGGCTTGCAAACTCAGCTCTTGCCAGGGAAGCAGCACCTTTTGGGACGGGCTGTAAGCAATTGCACGCTTCGGGGAAGAAGCACGGAGGCCTGTAAGCAGGCAGGCAGGCAGACGCTGGGCAGCACGAACTAAGCCGCAGCAGGAGGGACGTGGGGCCTTGGCTTGTTGCTTATCAAGACCGTGCTCAGTTCATGCTGCCCAGCGCCTTGTTCCGCCGCCGCTCAGGCCCTTTTGCCACTTGAAGCACGCCACATTAGCTGGCACTGCAGGGGATGGTCCCACAGCAACGCTGACAGTCCGGGCCGTGTGCCACCGGTGTCTCCAGTCCCAAGCCGCGAGCCGCAGGAAATATCCGGGCCCAAATTGTCTGCTGCAAGGACACCCCGCTCACGGCAGCGCCGCCAAACTGCCTTCTATACCACTGGCGTCCCCGGGCTGGAGCAGTGAAAGCCGGTCCAGCTGGTCGTTGGGGTGCGGAACCGGGCCATGGACGCCAGACCTTGCTCACTGGCAATGCTGGAGCTTTTCACGCCGACCGGTAGGTCTTCTGTGCCACTCCGCTCGGACCGCCGTCTTCTGGCTACAGGGCTGCCTCCCTCCAGAGCTGTCTTTCTCCCCCCCCCCTCCCGTCTATGTTGAGCCCATGGCGAACAGTGTCCCACAAACCAAAGAAGTTGAAAAAATCAATTCAAACTTCTTTCGTGAGAAGTTTGAATTGATTGGTTCAACTTTTTTAGTCCTTTTTGTTTTTGGCACTGGGAGACGGCTGAAAGAGCCACATGTGGCTCCGGAGCTGTGGGTTGCTGACCCGTGGGATAGGTAGTCTGAGATCTAGAAGTTTTGTGTCCCCCCTCCCCCGAACCTTTCTTCCCCTCAACATTGGAAGTCCTTGTCAGGCTCCAAAAACTAAGAAAGACACAGTGAGGTTCTTTGAGCAATTTCCTTTACTACAACAAAAGAGAATATTTGTATCTCAGGGTTGAACTGTGGGGTCCTTGGTGCTCTCTGAGTTCGGTGGTTTTCTTTTCCCAACTAGGTAACATTATCAGTGCCCTAATAATTCCTTGATTGTTCCCCACCTATGGACAAAAATCTTGCCAAACTAAAGCAGATTAGTTGCACCATTAAATACTGAGATCTACTAGGAAGGAGCTGCCTTAACTCTTCCTTCCTAAGCTTCACTGTCACTTGCTACTCTGGAATGCATTCCTTCCATCCTGGGAATCCAAAGTACATTACACCACATTCCTCCAGCAACAGTTGCTGCAAATTGTAGTGCAACTTCCCAAACATTCCAAAGTCCCCCCCCCCAAAGAGAAAAAAACCTGGGCTTGCCCACATGCAGAATTTGTTACCACCGTGCCCCTTTATGCAGAAAAAGCCTTAATTGTACCTCTTCCTTTGCACCCCAACTTGTCCCCTTTGCCAGAGTAAGTCCCATTTCTCACAATATGGTCTCTCTTCTTTTGCAGCACAACATGCCATTCTGGAGAATCACAAATCATGCAGATCTGGTGTCCCTTCACCAGGCCCTCGAATTAGACTTTCTGTGAGGACCTGGGCACAAAGCAGCTTGGCCCTGCTCTCAACAGTCACCTCGTGGTCTAAACAGGAACCAGTCTGGGTACTTTCTCTTTCATCCAGACAAAGAAATGCAGCCAGTGGAAGTGTAAAGCAGGAGGTTCTTCCCCCATCGCTGCTTTCCTGGGAGAGCCGACAAAGCCTTGGCAATGCAGCTCTGGTGCTCGAATGGTTCTCTTGTGTTTTTTTGGCAAAGGGAACTGGGAAACTTCCAGGTGCAGAATCTCCAGCAGCAGCAAAGGTCTTTCTCCCTGTGTAGCCCTCAGTGGTATTATACTAAAGAAGAGAAAAGCAGTAGAGTTTTGTAGAATACTTTTGCCCCCTGCAGACTTCTTTCAAGCTGTTAAATTGGAAAGGAAGGCAAATGGATTGTTTTTATTTAATCCTTTTTTTCTTTTTTTACAGAAAGGGGTCCAGACATGTCTCCCTTCTTGCAAAGCTCAGAAATAGAACTGTTTATATGTTAGGAAAAAAATAATAAAATAAGATGTTTGGAAGATGGGGATCTTCTCTTTCTTAGTAAGCCAGGGACCGAAAATATCCAACTGTTCCCTTGAGGCACCATGGCTGTCCCCCAATTCTTTTTCTAGCAAATACCCCCACTTGACTAGCACATGGCAGATTTTTTTAAGTAAGGAGGACAAGATGCTAGAATCTAATTGTGTCATGCCATCCCTCTTTTCAGCAACAGCATAATTGGGTAATAAGAAAGCTCCTTTTCTTAGATCCAGGATGACAGCCTGCCAGTCCAGGAGTCCTCTTCAGATGCCAACTTTCCATGCGCCAAGGATAGTGTCCTTTTTTGTTCCGATTTCTTGTACTGCAATTTTTGTGAAGCAAGGATTTGGCCAGAACAAGGTACCTAATGGAAGTCACCATTAGGTTACTAAATGGCAGACAAGAACAGTGGCTACTTGCTAGTGTTGTGATTCCTTTTGATGCAAGAGAATGGTAGCCATTGATGGGGCACGTGGTGGGCTGCAACCTGAGTGGTTAGAAAAAAGGTTCCTGTTTTCTTGCTCGAGACACCCAGCCTCCTTGTCCTTGTCCTTTACAAGTCCTTTAAAAGACAGTCTAGCAGTATTTTGTTGGATGCAAATGTGTTCTCCCTCCCAGATCCCCCCCTCAGATGCAGAATAGAATGAGCCTCTGTTCTGTTGAATCGCGTTCCTGCAGATTTTTATTTCTCAGCAAAAGTGAGGAAGTCATTTGCCTTGAAGGGCCCTTGGTTGACTTTGGAAATAACTCTTGTGCCTTAACTTCTTCCCAGAGTCCTGGAAATGTCGACTGTTGCATGGAAGAGAGAGTGTAAGCCTGCATCTCTTCCGTGTTGAAAATTAATCTTTTGATTCTATTTTTTTAAGCACTCTCAGTCAACGTAGCCAGTGAACGTTGAGCCACCAAGAAACTGACTCAGAGGGGTTTTTTTCCCTAGAAAAAAGCCCCTTGTCAGTCCCTTGTCAGGTTTCGAAAACACCTTTGGCCATGTGGGAAGCTTTTGGCATCAGGTTCTGATTTTTGTAATGCCTCCTGTCCAATATACATGAGCTGATTTGTTTCCTAAACCACTCAGGGCGATGGTACATTTTCTGTATTAACTTTTATAAAAAAGTCGATTCAGCTCTTGCACCACTGAATTTGCTGGCTGCTTTTCTCTTGGGGCTTCATAGAGTTTGGAAACCAGTGTGTTGCCACCTTCCATCCCACTGTTTAGCTTTCAAGCACGCCTATTTTTTTTTCTAATGCAAAGGTGGATGGACATGCATCATCTTAAGTACGTGAGAAGCTGGCATCTCCCACCAAGTGTGAGAAATAGGCTGCAACTGCAATTGCATACCCTAAGCAAAAGTAAGTTACAGTTGCTGATTCTCCCTCAGGATCCTGTCAACGTCCTGGTGTCAGCTGTGCTTATAATAGTGATTGAAGGGCATTAATGGCTATCTAGATTCCTTCAATATCATGTTCTATGTAATGGCAACTGTCCTGTGAACTGGAAAAAAAATAAAGTCTTTTATTTTCTATACAATCCCTCAATTGTTTTTTCCTCCTTTTCCTGGAAATTCTACCCAGAATTGCTGCCAAGTTTGGATAGCTGGGGGATCGTGATTTCTCCCAAATAAGTGAAGATCAGAAATTCTTGCTGATCTACTAAAAATCATCAGGCTCTATCAGTCCACATGTCTTTTGCCCTAGGGCTTATTTAAGGTGTTCTCTATATAAGACAGAAGATAAGTCTAAATCTCTTACTTTTCTTAAGTGGTGTCAGTGGGATCTTGGGCTTTACAGTTGGTTCTGCCCTTAAACTCCCCAGCAAAAGTTGCCATGTAATTTAAACGTGACTGAACTGAGTGAAATGCAACTGCTTTTATTTCTTTTTACTTTTGCTTTCAAATATGTTCTTTGCAATAAGTATAGGTATCAAAAGCTAGATGGATGTGTGATTTTCTTTTTAGCTGAATGCCACACAAGAATTGGATGCTGATTCTGAAACAAGGCTCTAGATTTTACTTCGTTTCCAAATAAACTTGGCCAGCTTGATCACATTTGTTTAAAAATGACATTAAGGCTCTGGTAACACCAGCAATGAGTGACCTACGGCTTTTCAAATGTGGTTCACAGTAGTTCCTGCCAAAGTGGCCAATTATGCCAACTGCTCAGAATTCAGTATTGCTTCCCCATGCTTCTAGATCATCAATCTCAACTAAGGTTCACTGAATATATCTAATATACTTAAATCATGAAATCTCATATGATTGAACCACAACAACAGGTAAGAATAATCTTGCTTTTCAGACCTTTTGATGGCTTCATGCACTAGCCCACAAAGAAGTGACTGGATTTTGAGCATTACATTCTATCACAGGGGTGTCAAACTGCCAGCCCATGGGCCGGACACGTCACATGGAAGCCGCCCCACCCCATTGCCGGCAATGGCAAAATCGGCCCGATACGTTGCGCGATGTCACGTGACGTCATGAGTTTGACATGCCTGTTCTATCAGGACCCTCAGCAGTCACCTGTAGTCATTTGTTTTGGATTTGCACTTTAACTGACAGATCTGAAAAGTCACACTGAGCATAGTAAGGCAGTTTTCTTAGGCAGCTTATGGTAGAGGCCATGCTAATAAACCCATTAGCTGACAATTTGGCCTGTTATATTGGAGCAAAATTTACCAGTTCTATGAACTTTATAGAACATGGTCATATTCTCTTACTTGCTAATTGTTTTAGCAGCCCTTCACACACTTGAAGACAAAAAGGACTCACATCCCATCTTGAAGTTGGAAGCTTACCTAATTTCTCTTTAAAACTTAATGGCACTCTGGTGCCAACCAACATAGTGCACATAAAAATGGACAACATATTTAGTTACTATTGTTTTCTAGATAGATGTAAACCTTTATCTAACCCAGGGGTATCAAACTGCTGGCCCGCGGGCTGGATGCATTCTAACAAAACCGTGCCCACCCCTTGCCAGCAATGGAAAAAAAGTTGTGATAGGTCGCAACACGTCACGTGACATTGTGAGTATGACACTCCTGATCTAACCCCTTGCAGGTGCTGCTCAAATAGCACAGACGAACAGGAACTGAAATACTTTATTCAGTCTAAACATTTCAGAAGCGGCAATAAATTAACAATTGCACTGAATTCACACTGAATTTGGCATTACTATATATGAAACTTCATAAACTGGGATACAGTTTAGTGAAAGAAGGGAGAGAGGTTACGACTAATATACCGGTATCTACTCTCTGAAGTGAAAAGCAAGTGGGGTTTTGAATTTTTTTTAAATGCCTATGTGTACTAAATCCTTTCCTAGTGCTTTGCTATTCCTTCCACTCCAACTTGAAATCTTCCGTTGGAGGCTTGAATAAACTGAATATGCACATCTCTGCCATGCATATTTTGTTGATTCCAATCAATCTAAATCAGGGATGTCAAACTGCCAGCCCACGGGCTGGATGTGTCATGGCCAAAGCGCGCCCACCCCATGCCGGCAATGGAAAAAGTCGCAATATGTCACGACACGTCATGTGACATTGCGAGTTTGACACCCTTGATCTAAATCATTGTGAAAACCTTAAGTAACACTGACTTTTTAAAATTAGCCACATAAGGCATAGGAAGAGAGCCAAATCCAGAAAGAAGTGTTAGGCAGGTTTTCCAAGTTTCCCTTCAAGATAAACTTGGGAATTGGAACAAGGACTGTCCTCTCAAAACTGTTGAAGTATAAACTATTTGGGCACAGGTGACCAAAATCAAGTAGAACAGAGGGGAAGGGCTGAAGCTACTCTCGCTAGTTCAGATGTTGTATTAAAACCAAGTCAAACCTAATGTCTTCCAGGTGTTTTGGAATTCTATTCCATCAGTCCCTGCATCAAAACATAGATGAACTACCAGGTGTATGAATTTCCTCATCTCAATGAGATAGGAAAAGTCTCATCACCATGAGCACTACACCAAATTCTAAACTACAGTTCATCTTCATAGTGGTAGGTTAAAGTCAGTTTATAGCTTATGCTTTAAGGATTTTGTGTTTTTCCGGATAAACTATGACACCCATAGAAACCTTGTATAGTTTCATAGTTCAGATACTATGACAAGAACTAGTTAAAAGTAGAAGTGACAGTTTGGAACTGTCTGATGGGCACATCAAAGAAAAGGGGAAGCATGTGACAAGAGCCATTTCAACTGATTTTTCCTGGTGAAGCATATTATCAGAACACAGGCAGGTGGGCAGACAAGTACAGTGAAGTAAGGCCTGAATTTAAGATTAAAGGTGTGATGTCTGAAAAGTGCACCAGAACTTTTTGCAATCCACAATAAGGTGCAAGTCACAGAATCCAGAATTAGAGACATCAAAAGCAATAATGATATACGTATGGAACATCTGAACTTGCTAACTAGCATTCTTCGCCTTAGGCCCTGTTTAGCCATATCTGCTGATGTTGCTTCATATCTTTCACCCCTCTGCTAAAGATTCTCTTCAAGAGGACAAATAGATCTCCTTGATCTAGTGACTTCCAAATCAAGTGAATAGGAATATGTGAAGGTCTGCAGGAAACAAATCCCCCCCAAAAAATCAGGGAAAACATACTAATGGTTTTTCTTACTGTTTTCCCCCATACATCTCTTAACTTGATGCCACTTATATATCGTCCAACATATCAGTTGAGAAGCAGCAGCTGAAAAGGTAGCAGAAAAAGCTGACAAGAGCATTTTGCTGTAAGTGAACTAAGGTGCAATCAGGCTAAGTTGGTAACATCTATCTTGTGCTTAAAAACATTCCTTCCTAGCTTATTTGGTTTAGCTTATGTGCGTAATCCTGGAAGAAATATAGGCAAGGTTTCAATAGGTAAACTGGTATAAATGTTTTCTGAATCTAATCCAACTAAAGTCTTGTCTTGGTTGCCCTGGGCATAAAGGCTCATAGATACATATCACTGACAGTCCCAGTCCTTTGGTACTGAGTCTCTTCTGCCAAAGAGCCAGCAAAGAAGTTCTGAGAGAGTCTATACGTCCGATGGTTGATGACGGGTTCTATAACCATTTGCTGGAGCACAACAGCATCTCCATTCCTGTCTACTTCATCGTAATCCATAAGGGGTACAGTTTTCATAGTGGGGTGAAAACACTTGTAGTAGATGCATTTCAAGAAAATGCCAAGGGCATAACAGACCAGGGCAGCCAGGAGTGCAGGACACACTTGGGAATCCCAGCTTGAGGGAATTCTGTACCACAACCACGAGACAACAAGGATGACGCTATCCACAAAAAAGAAAGTGTGGTAAATAGTTGAGCGGTGGTGCGTTTTCCCCTCGGCCACATTGAACCAGCAAAAATAGAGGATAACAGCTACTGTAGCTCGATAAAACCACTCAAAGGTGGCATTTTCCATTAGGTCTGTCCCTTGCAAGGAGACCCAGAGAAACATGACCAACCAGATGCCTAGGAAATGGAGGAAAACGTAGCCTGAGAAGACTACTGCAAAGAGCGCCAACGAGAGAATGCGAGGACACATCAATAGGAAGTTCCACAGGAAGTAGAGGACTGAAGACAGGAAGGCCAACTTGTGTTTGTCCCGCAGGAAGCTGCGCAGGGTCTGGTGGTAATCCAAGAGGGCCCAAGTGATACACAGAAAAGATGTGCAAATCCCGAGTACTGCAAGGAAAACAAGGGAGAAGGAAGTGGAAACAGGGATCAGGTTAAGGAAGAACCGCCCCCGTTGCAAACATCATAGTATAGATGCTGAAGCGGGCAGCAAAATCTACCCTTGTAACTCAGGAATCTCAATTATTTAAATTACTATCATTTCTAGTGAGTTCCCTATTTTTCGCTCTGTTATGCAATCTTCTACATCCTGACAGTAAAATCAAGGAAAAACATACATGTAGTCCTTGATTCAGGTCTGATTCCTTGATGACAATTTGAAGATTCAATCTTAATATTAAGATCTATATTGTTTTGTTATTTTGTGTGGGGATGTATGTATGTATGGATTTTGATTTGATTTTGAATGTCTGTTTCCAATTTATTGAACAAATTAATAAAGTTTAACTTGATGTTATTTCTCCACATTGTTTTTATATGTCTACAAATCTTGGGTTCCCAAGAGGCTGAAGATCTGGGCCACAAAAATGCTGACATCCAATGCTGGATTTTATTTATTTATTTATTTATTTATTTGATAAATTTTATTTATCAAATTTCTACACTGCCCTTCTCACCTACATGACTGAGTGGTTTACAAATAAAACGGATACTGCAAATAGCAGACATTTATGCCGGCAGAAGCTCACATTCCTCCAAAACTAGCCCCTCCCAATTGGCACTCACCTTGAAATACCTCAGCCTGGTTGGTGTGTAGAATGATGTAGATCACCAGGATGAGCTGAGGTGCACTTTCCAGAAAGGTCTCAAAGAGGCGCAAGAGACTGACATCATGTGACAGGAAAATGGCAAAGGCCTGATGAGTTGCTGTTGCATCTTCCATCTTCCATGCCTGGAAACCCACCCTCAGGACACAGAGACACCTGAACAAGGCAACACAGAAGTGTCTAAGGAAAGATTTGAAATTAGGAAAGCATGCAATGGGAACATTTCTCAAACAACAGCCCTAGGGGATTTATTTACAGTTAGTCCTTGACTTACAACCATATGTTGAGTGACTGAAGTTACAATGGAACTGAAAAAAAAAAGATGACTTATGACTAGTCCTCACATTTATAACTACTGCGGTATCTCCATAGTCACATGATCAAATTTCAGGCATTTATAACTGGCATGTGTTTACAATGGCTGCAGCATCCCAGGGTTACGTGATCATTATTTCCAGCTAGTTTCCGACAAGCAAAGTCAATAGGGGAAGCCTGACTCATTTAACAACTGAGTGATTCACTTAACTGCAGCAATTTGCTTAATCATTCCAAAAAAAGGTTGTCAAATTATGTGGAACTCATTTAACAACCACCTTGCTTAGTAACAGAAATTCTGATACTCAACTGTGGTTGCAAATCAAGGATTGTTTTGCGTAGGGCTGCCACAGTGAGCCTGGCTGGTCAAAAACATCCAGCAACCAGTACTTTCTCTAAGATGTTGGAGTATACAACAAAACATTTTAATAGGAGATAAGGATCCCTAAAAGCAATACTTAACAGGCTTCACCTTTTTTCTCCTTCCAGGAAATATGCAAGATAATGTAATTGACCAGACAATTAAATTCATTCTTAATGCAGCCATTATGGCTTCCTTAGCTTAACCCAGTAGGCTAATTTGTGTTTATCTACTTTGGCCAAATTCTTGTCAGCCCATCACTGCAACTTATGACTCAAGCCTGCGTCCATCTAAACCAGTGGTTCTCAACCTGTGGGTCGGGACCCCATTTGGGGTCAAACGACCATTTCACGGGGGTCGCCAAACAACACAGTCTGCCATTTCCCCCCCTTTTCCTTAGCTGTGCTACTCCCTTTTATTCTTTTGGCTTTTGAAAGCCAATAGAATAGACTCTCTTGAATAGAGTCTAATTCTATTGGCTTTCAAAAGCCAATAGGAATTGTCCAGGCTGTCTCTGCCCTGCTGAGCCCGCCAAAAGTCCCATTCTGCAAACGGTGCTGCACCAGTTGAGTAGTCCTCGACTTACAACCGGTTGAGTAGTCCTTGACTTACGACCGGTTGGGGGTCGCGGCATTAAAAAGGTTGAGAACCACTGATCTAAACAAAGCCAACAAAGTTACTTGAGAGTCTGATGCATGATGTGAACTCTGGCATTTGGATAAAAGGAATTTAGTCAGGTTGGCAGGGTGTGATAGAAACACTTGTTTGTTTAGATATGTTGTGTAAAATACCCTAGGAGAAGAGTGTGCTGTGTGCAACCGCCTGGGTCAATGAACAGAAGCATCCCTGCTACTCTTACCTGTACAGGTAGCCGAGCTGTAGGAGATGGAGCAGCTTCGAAGTCCCGGGGGATGGCTGGGAGAGGCCCTCTTTATCGGAGTCACTCCGGAACCAAGCCCAGCTAAAGAACTGGGTCGTCAGGGAGGAGAGCAGCAGCAGCCCCAACACCAGCCCGCCCCAGGGCAAGTGGCCGGCTCGAAGGTAGCTGGCAGCCACCCATACATCGGCCACCAAGTCCAGCAGGAAGGCGAGGGTACCCACCAGGGCAAAGGCCAGGTCCAGAAAGCGAAAAGGGGGCGGCTGGGGAAGGCTGCAGCCAGGAGTGCAGCCGGTCCTAGCCATGGTCCCGGTGGACGGCAGGGAAAGGGCCTCGAGGGGCCAAAAACCTCGGAGGAGGCCCCGCCGGGCGGACGGGGCGGGGCGCCCGCTTGGGCTCCTCCGCAGCAGCCTCGCCTTCCGCGGGTTGTTGGGAGGAGGGAAGCTCCGCTTAGCGCCGCTGCTGTCTAGAAAAGCGTAAACTAGGAAACTTCGCCGGGATTCCCCCTCAGATTCCTTCCTTCGGGCTCCCTTCGAAGCGGCTCTTCCTCCGGGCTTGCAAACGCCCCTTCCCCGCCCCTGGACGGACCACTCCCGTCTCTTTTCGCGGAGAGCCGGTCCGCTTCCGCCCCGCTATCTCCCGGGCCTGGAGGGAGCGAGGAAAGCGGGGCGTCTCCTCGACGGCGGCGGCTGGGGAGGCTCTCGGAGCAGGACGCCCGGGGCGCTGCGTGGCCTCCCCGCCTTGCCTCTCCCGCCGCCGGGCCTGCTTTCCCCGGAGGAGAGGCGGGACCCAGTGGGGAGAAAGCGCAACCCGCGACCCGCCCGGCTCGGAAGCGGGCTTCCCTTCTCGGCTGGAAGGAACAGGCCAAGACGGTAGCCCTCCATCCTCCGTCTGTTGACCCCGAGACGGGTTGCTGGGACCGTCTTGAAAGAGAGGCGTCGAGCAAGGCTGGGTCGACACCTTTCACACGTCGGCTGAAAATCCCGGGATTGCGTTTGCAAGATACGCCAAACTTGGCAGATGGGTTTTCTTTTTGTTTTGCATTGAAGCAGGTGATTTTTTTTCCCCTTTGAGGCAGTTTTTTTGCATCTGGAGCTGTGGTACAAAAGATGGCGGGAATATCTTCGATTCAGGCTCCAGCCTTGTGATATCACGCGCCTTCTTGCAAGGTGACAGAGACGCCCATAGTCCACTCTTTCCTCTTTGATCTGTACAAAGAAGGCTGTGCCAAGTGTTAATGTAAGACTTCATACCCATTAAGCCCCCCCCTCCAGTTTATTCAGTTAAGAGTTGAGTGGCTATAAAACAGAGCTAAGAAATCACGACAGAAAAGTTTGAGTTCCCAGCAAAAAAAAACACGGATAAGGTAAATTCCAGACCTTGCTAAATGCTTTCTCATGCACTCTGGTATATTTATTCCCCTTTTCATGGGTTGAGTAATACTGTAAAATGCCTAATTTAGAATTGTTGCAAGACCAATGACTCTCATGACTCTTTAATTGTTTTCAATTTCTACATTCTGAATTCTTTAACTATTTTGAATCATGCAGTTCCACACGTACTGGAATTAAAAAGTTAATTTCCTCAACTCTTGTTTCCTTTTTATCAGCACTCAAAAGCCCAAGTTAAACACGTTCAAGGCTAAAATCCATTGAAGACATCATTGGAGTTAATAAGTTGTCAGAAAAATATGCCTTGAACTGCACTGTAATTATGGGGTTTTCTATGGAGAACATATCATGTTTTAGACTATATTTATATGAAAATTTCAAAGGTTCACAAATCTCAAAGCACCACTGTAGTTCCCACATACATTAGTTGAAAAGATTTAAGGATTATTTACTTTGGAGCATTGGTATGTCTCCTCATCTCAGTTTTTATATTACAACTTTTTCTATAATTGAACAGTCAAAGTGACTGGAATCTAAACACAAGTAATTTCTTCTGCCCTACATCTAAATATTATCTTCAGGTTCCAGGAAATCTTGCCTTTTGCTTTGTCTCTGTGAAAACCTGAAAAAACGTTAAACAATAGCTGTGAAATGGCTGATCCTGATTCAGCCTTTAGGTTCCTCTATTCCATGTAGAATATTAAAGTCTTTATTATTTACCCTAAGCCATTTAAGTTCTATTAAGTCAACAAACCTCGTTTGTGTGTGTGTGTGTGTGTGTGTTGCTAAAGTTAAAAGCTTGTCTGCTCCAGCCACTATAAGGAAAATTGATCCATGGGTCCTTTAATAATAGTTGTAAAACAACACACCAGATCCAAAAAAATGTCAGAATGGCTTACCAGATATGAAAATCTGGACATAATACCATGCTGTGTTGTAAGCAGAAAGATTAATAGTTTTGAATGTGCACTTTTATTTCTCTGTACAAGGTCTGCCTTTCTACTGAGGTGAAATTCTGTGTCACAACACATCACAAGTGTACCCTTACTGCTTTTATGGCATTGTAGACATGAGATAAAATAAGAAATGAAACAACTGAAGCATTGAAAGTTACTCTATGCGCTTGGACACTATTGGGTTTTTTTCTTAGAACAGTTAATTAGAAGCCACCTCTCCTTGCCCACATATTTTTCCATTGCCTATTTCCTTTAAAATATGTGTGAATTTGGATTAGCATTATGTTCACACTGCACTTAAAATACTTTTTTTCATTATAGTTTGTTAAGTAAGCTCCTATAGCTGGGTTCACAAACACAGTGGATGAGATCACACCCAATACATTGTACTAAATCAAAACCAAACCAAATCAACCACATTTTTATATTTGCTAATGTGGACTTTTGAATGTTATCTACTACTTGGGTCACAGGTGGCTTACAGCTCTAAAAATATAACAGTCTGCAACCTAAAACCAACCATATTGCAGAGCTGCTAAGTGGACTTCTCAGTAAAAGCTCTTTAGAAGAGCACGTTTACTTCCTTCCTAAAAGTTAACAAGGTTCTATATAAGGAAAATTCCCCCTCAATTTTGGGCAGTAAAAACCCAAACAGTTGAAGAATGTTTTGAAATTTTACTGAATCTCTGATTCTAGGGTGCCCTCAGTAAAAGATAAAAATTTCCGGTCAAACAATTGTGTTGGTTTACACATATTACATTTTTCTACACATTTTATGCAACTGAAGACATTGGCATAAATAATAATTCTACTAAGTTTTCAGTTGAACCTGTTTCACTGAATCCAGTTCTTTATAGCCTCTAGATATCAAATCAAGAATTCCACAATGTCATTTACTCAGCCTAGAGTGGAGATATAAAATTGGTATCAGTGTATTGATACCAGCAATTTCATGTGGGTGTTAAAGAGAAGTCCATGCTCTGGGACAGTCCATCAGAACCTCTCCTCTTTCACTAACATCAGTTGGAAGTACCCTTTTATGATGCTGCTATTCTTATATTAGAAACTTTGTCACTTAAGTGTTTGGTTTTTCCAAGGGAAACCTTGCACCCTCCCAATGCAAGAAAAATAATAACTTTGAAATGATGATGATGATGTTTACGAGTTTGCAGTTCAAAAATTCATCAGAAATGGATGGTCTAAATTCTCAGGATGATGGCACCGGAAACCCTATACCATTTCAGACAAATGGTTGTCCAATCTCTTCTTAAAAACTTCCAGTGTTGGAGCATTCACAACTTCTGAAGGCAAGTTGTTCCACTGATTAATTGTTCTAAGAGTCAGGAAATGTCTCCTTAGTTCTAGGTTGCTTCTCTCCTTGATTAGTTTCCATTCTATGTTTCTTCTTTACTCTTGTGGAATCCACGTAGTGTTATTTGTGGCCCAGCTTGCTCAAGACATTCAAGAAACCTAAAGTAATGAGACCTATTGTGGGGCAAAATAAGAAAATGTCCAGAATTGGTGTTGCAGCTGCAGCGCTTCTGGCTGTAACACATTGACTGTATCTTTCAAAGTCAACTTCTCTGATAGCACAGATGTGATCTGTCTGGCAGCTGTCATCGCAGAATGTGTTATCGTACTGAACTGAATTATATCGGTAGTACTTCTGGAGCTGGCTTTCATCTTTCATAAGCTTCTCCATAAGCAGATGCATGGAGCGAACAGAACCATCTGGGATCTGGTATGCCTCTGTCAGGCTGTATTCTTTCTTCCACTCTGGAGTACCCATGTTAGCGTGGGTGAGATTTAAATAGTAAGTTACTATATCCTAAAAAAGGAACAGAAAACATTTGGAAGAAATACTAAGAAATCTATGCTAAAGCTGATCAGAGCGAGCTACAGGTTTGAGCTGCAGAAATTCAGATAACTATGCAATAGCAAAAAAATACAGAGAACTCAACTCTTTGGTCCCATCTACTGGAGATTTAGATTTTTGCAGCCTGATGTGGTAAACTTAATAATGATGAAGATATGTAAGTAGGAGAAGAGCAGGCGGAACTGGGGACAGAATTAAACACATCATCAGCTTAGAGTCATTGCGTTCCCACAAGTGCTCCAAGTCCAACCCCTCCTGAATTCTTAACTGGAACCAATTTGTGCTGAACTTTAGTTGATCAGATTCTTGCATATAAGCTTAAATAAACCCTCTATGCTACAACCCAACTGGTGGTCCTGATTCTTTGCGCCTGACAGATAGCCATTATATTTCCTTTGCCCTCTTGTCAAGGCAGCTGAAAAGGAGATCCAAGCGACTCTCCACCTTTCTTCATTTCATTTTCCTGTGCTGCAGCAATCAGGACATGACTGGGTTCTCCATGGTAAGATGCTATGTCAGCCAAGTAAACTAAAATTGCATTTCAGGATTTTTTGAATTGGGCCCTAATCCTTCTGACAGTCAGCAGGATCCTCATGACTATTGCTCAGCTCTCTAGTCTACAGCATCTTCCCTGTCCTTTCCCAAGGCTGTCAATATGAATAGGACTCAAGTCAGTCACAGTAGACCAGCTCAATAGAGACCAGCTAGAAATTTCTAGTGGGCAAAATAATTTGCCCTCAGTGGCTACACGGATCACCTCTGGGTCAAGTGCCCTAATTTCTTGGAGACAAATATAAATGGAATTCTCTTTCTACCTTCACGAGCAGAGTCTCACGGTCATATTTAAAAACACGGATGCCAGGGTTGTTGGCTCCATTCTGCACACCTGGCAAGGTTGTTTTCCAAGGTGTAACTGCTGGAGCTAAAAATATGACACTGATTGGGGAATCTGAAAGAGAAAACAAACTACACCAGGAATTTTATCACATACACACACATACACACACACATTTTATTTTGAGGACAGATTGATGTTGTCAGTTCCATGCCAGACCATAACAGGATATAATCCATGATGGAGCAAGGAGTAATATGCAGACTGGAATAGTGGCATTCAAGTCCCAATAATGTGTCAATTGACAGGTAAGACAAGGAACTGCCTTTGGCAATGCAAAACTTGCAATCATTTTTGGGCCACCCTCTCTATCTTAAATGGGTAGGGATTGGAAAATAACGCACCCATTCAATTATGGCCCTCCTTTTGTGAAATATACTAATTGCTGGTGGATTTTGGCACAGAGCTCATCCCTGGGCAAATATTATTTTATTTGCCTAGGCTTTTTTTGGCCGCTAATGTAACTGGAATTTTTGTTGAATAACAAAATAACAGAGTTGGAAGGGACCTTGGAGGTCTTCTAGTCCAACCCCCTGCGCAAACAGGAGACCTGGCCTATACCATTTCAGACTCTCCACTCTCTTTTTTTAAAGAGACTTTTTTTAAACTATATTTCTAAATTGTATGACGTTTTTGTCCACTTGTCAGGTTCTGGAAGACACATGACATCGTTAGTCAGTTGCCAGGTTTTCAGCAGGATCCAGTCCTGATAGTTGCCTTCCTGTAAAGTACGTTTGCCCCACAATCCTGTTGCTCTACAGACTGGAAGACCTTCAGAGAATTCCAGGGGACGTACCTGTGTTATCATAGAACATTCTAAAGCTATCTGTATGGTGATGCCCAAAAAATTGTGCTGCAATTACAGCATGATGTTTCTGAATGATTTCTGTATATCTTTGGTTGAAGTGTTTTCGGAACCAGGGTTTGCCTCGTTTCTTTTCAAAGACACCAGGAGGAACATGTCCAATAATATAGACCTGGGATAGATCAGACAAGGGATAGTTGAGGGGGGGGGGAGGGAAATGACACATTAAAGACTGAGATACAGTTTCCTAGCCTTCCTCTCCCAGGATCATCAGCTAGCCTGATCAATGCTTTGGAGGGGGTGACCAAACCCAGGGCTGGCTCCAAATTTCTGCTTTTCCCAATATCCTCTCTCAAGCTATGTTCTCTCATCCTATATAGACCTGGAACTCCTGTTATAGAAATCTTAAGTAATTAATCTACAATTAATTTGGTTCAATCTGAATAGGTTTGAAACAAACTCTTCTCCTAAACTGCACAAGGAAGTTGGACTTAGGCCCTTTGCTGATATTACAATCTATGATTCTTACTCTCTTTGGCTAGATTCATACATACCACACTATGTCGTAAAGTGATTTAATATATTTATAAAATGTTTATCCAGTTTTTATTATTAGAAATCAAACCATGCTTATGGCTTAGCATGTACTGTAAACCCAACTAATTATAGTTTAAACTATGGTCTGTGACGTAACTACATATGTATCCTTTGATTCCCTCTTGAAATCATGACATTACTGAAATGTGTTGACATTCCAGAGGTATACCTATGGCAATAGTGTCATACTGCTGAATGTATTTTTGCAACTGAGTTGAGACATTATCCTAATTATAATTATCTGTTCCAAAAAGGGTTAGAAGTATTGTTTAAAACAAGGAAATTAGGCAGCTGAAAGAAACCTTTTCTCCTGTTTCTGATGCCTTGGTCAACAGAGTTTGCAGCCACTGGAATTGGCCTCCTGGATCCTCCAGACTCACGGACCGATTATTACTTTCATAGTACAGATTGGTGTTGAGGACAATTATACGCCTTCTTGGTCCAAGACCAGGCAACAATTGACTGTAAAAAGCACCTGCAAAACAGTGAATAGGTCAGTTTGGATCAGAAAATGTATGGTAGGAAGCAACTAAGTTGATCATCTGGATTCTTTGAATGGGCTACTAATTCCAGTTCATTTTTTATAGCCCCTTATATAGATTCAGAGGAAAGCATTTGTGTATGGGGGGGAGTCAACTGCATTTCAGTACTGCCTCTCAGGGCCAATTTAAAATGCTACAACACAATCTACCATCACATACCTGTTCTGAACTTCTGTATGGAGGGCTCTTCAAGCCAGGGGTGCCATAGTTCTGCTGTTACATTGTAGATCTTGTTCTCCTCAACTGGAAGCTGATTTTTGGGGTGGAAGTCATGGTTGCCCATTGCTGGATAGACCTGAGTATCTGAAGGAAGCAGGAAAGAACACAGCTTGGTAGAGAATAGTATAAGAAAGCAAGCCGCTTTGTCTCTGAACACAGTAAAGCTGGCTGTGAAAGAAATGTCCCACAGTAGGGAGAAGCGAATCACACTAAGCCATGTTTTGTCTTAGCCATCCTAGATTGATTTGATGCTAAGCCACAAGCATAAATTTTTACACGCAAATCTGAATGGTAGAGTTTACAAAGAGGTCACATTATAGTTTCCTACAATCCTTTTTCCATCAAAATCTGAACAGGGGTACCAGAGATGGTATTCCTAGGCACAGAGTAATCACAGTGTAACTTTTTGCTGAAACTATATTAATTTACAAAATGTGGACCTAGACAGGAGAATCACCAAACAAGGAGGTAAAACTATAGATTGAAATTAACCAGGAAGGTACTTTAATTTTATCAGATGGTAAATTTACATACTTATGGAGCTGAGCATATGGAAAGCCAAAGCAAAAAGGATTCTGAACTATAGTGAACCTAGTCTATATCTCAAGTGTATCTCAACCTTGATCACTTTAAGATGTGTGGACTTCAACTCCCAGAATTCCTTAACCAGCATGTTGGCTGGAGAATTCTGGGAGTTGAAGTTTACACATCTTAAAAGTGGTTAAGGTTGAAAAACACTGCTATATCTGGAAAATCAAACAACCATAAGAACCCATAGCTAGGATTTCATATGCTGTCTGCACCAAGTCACACTATTTCCCCCTAAAGAAATATATCGGCATATGTAAATTCTTCCCATTATCCTGAAATAGGAACATATTTCTTGGAGAAACCTGAGAGAAGAGTATATACAATCTTGTCTATACTTGCTGCTGCTTACGCAACATATTCTCAGTAATCTTCAAAGACAAACATTCTGTTATTTTTCTTGCACAATCTGAAACCTGTATGATGGCTAGAACTTTTGAAATTTGCAGCCCCAAAACATTTGGAATAAGCAGAATGGTAAGGTTATTCTGCTCCTGCTGCTTAGTACTAATTTAGACTATGAGATTTTTCTTTCCAAAAGTTGCATGTTACATCTAACTTTCTGAACTTGAAAACCTTTGGAACCTTATATAATCTTATTTTCGGGACACTGAAGACCACATGAAAGCAAAATACATATGATTTAATTTAATTAATCAGGAATATAGAATTGGCTAGTAAGCAATCATGTTTCTGTTGCACATAATACATTAAAACCAGATGGGATAAAAATCAATCTCTTCATTATTGTAATATTTTTTCATTCAATTTTTCTATTAAGGTGATATCCAACATATTTGCAACCCTGTGGAAATATTCAAATCCTTCTGTTTTCTAAGATCTTGCTGCTACTTGACTGGCTACAGCTAGCAAAAAAAAAAACATAAATTTGTATTTTTAATATTCTAAACATCATCTCAGTTTAATAATAATAACCTAAACATCTGGCTGTGCAACCAACCATAAAATGGCAATTTAATAAAAACTTTGCACCAGAACACTTGAAGAACTTCACCAAACCATCACATGTGTACCCTTTTCTCTCTGTTTTTTTCCCAGTACATAGGTCTTATATTAAATGTATCATGTAACTTTTATACAAAATGTAAAATGCTGCATTTTGTTGTGGTCTTTCACAGGACTTAGCTTGTTATTGCCCACTTATTCTACTATTTTGTACCTGGAAAGACATGTCTGATTAGGTTAGTAAGCTTTTTTATTATTTCCAACACTGTTTCATCTCCCAGCTTTTCATCTGGCACATGAGGAGTATCATCTCTAGAAAAGAGCAAAAACACATTCCAGTAAACCCCACAGATACTAAGCATACACCTAGATAAGCTACATATAAGAAAGAATAAAATAAGTGTACATCCCAGGTCTCAACTGTGATTGAAATTAGCCTAACAGGTTACTAGGCTAAGAGGCAGGGAGACAAAAGGGATAGAAATCTACAAAGACATACAGTAGATGTAGGTATTCCAATCATCTGTTTTATTCTCAACCTCATTAAAAAAATTTCTTCCATCACAGGCAACATGCAGCTATGGGTGGCATATAAATTTAATAAATAGAAAAGCTATCTCTCTTGAACTAACATATTCACATATTTGCATGGGAATCCTGAATGGTTATCATATTCAAGTAAATTGTTAAGCAATGAATGAACAGCTATTCTTGAATGGTTAACCAACTAAGGGGTTAAATAAAAGATTGTTTTGTTGTTTACTACATGGCATAGGACTCATGCTTTTTTTTTTTTTACCCAGTCCAAAGAATAAAGTCTGGATCAGGAAGAATCTTCTTCATGGCATAAATAGAAGAGTTGATAAGAATCCAGGGAGAGTCACACAAGTAATCACCCCAGGTTCCTGCACTGATCACTGGCTGAGTGCCAGCAGATGGACACACCTTCAAGGGATCGGAGGACTTTTGATACTCTGGGTCAAGATGAAGGTCTGAGATATGCCAGAAGGAACCTGCATCAGCAGACAGAAAATTCACAATAAAATAGTTCAATATTTGTTTCAGTTTTTGTATTCCCCAGAACCAATGGTCCTCATTGCAGACAGCAAAATGTCTAGGACTGTTCCTGTGTAATTGCAAGCTTGTCCCATGCTTGTCAAGCCCACTCTGCAAAATTATTCTTGTCTTAAACTAACTTTTTTTTCTTGGATTTTGAGTGGTGTGCCTGAGCCGCCCTCCAAAAATTAAGTAGCACCATAGTCAAGGAATGGATGGGGTAAGGACGATCCTCGACTTGATTTACAGTATGTGTGGTTCAAATGAGTTCAATGGACTGAGTTAATTATAAACACAGATCAGCCCCTTAAAACGAAGACACATGTCCAAAGGGAGTCTCTGCATACCAAATATAAAACATAAAACAAGTAGAAAATATTAGTGTTTGCAACTAAATCTTTAAAAGGGTCAGTTTTGCCAATTAATGGCACTTGCAACAGCACAGAGCCAGTTTCTCTTCATCTGATCTGCCAGAAGAAAGGATACAACTAAAAGCAAATCAATTAAACAATGAATATGATTACTTCTGTGTAATGTTCCTCTTCTGTCATATTAAAACAACGATTTAGTGGCAACTCTTGAAGAAGCTCCTAGGGTGGTGCCCATATCCTGTTCTAGTGTTGCCTCCTAAAACTTATCATCAAATAGCTATTCTTTAAACAATTTTCCCAATTAAAAAAATCCCTGGAAAATACCTGAAGTGGCAATTACATTTCTGCAATGCATCAACAGCAATAGAATCTTCCAAAAGTCCATTTTGGTTTCTTGGCCAACAAGCACCGCAGATCTGCTTTCTCTTCTGTAGGTGTAGCTGTGGCAATCCGTCAGCCTTTTTACTCTCCTCCCCTATATCTTTGACTGACGGCTTACTGGAAGAACCAACTTGGCATCAAAACTTGGCATCTCTTCCAGCTTAGCAGAATTCTTAGAAAATGTTTTAGCAGTGCATTATTTGAAGGAAGGAGCTGAGGTTGTAGGGTGTGTCAAATTTTATATTGCAGTATTTGCAAGCCTTCAATCTGTTACTAAGGTCTTTGTCATTTGACAAACTCTTTGCTGACATAGCAGGATGGAAAAGTTTGTTTTCTGGCAGAGAAGCTTTGGTAGGTGGGGAGAGGCAGGTGAATATTCAGGTTCTCTTGCCAAAAATTAATCAAGCAGCCCAGATTGATTTAACTTGTTTAGAAGAAAATCTCTCTTTTGGCTGCTGGATCAAAATAAGATTTCTAGTGTTACAATTCTGTTATTCCACCCTGAGCCATTTTAAAATAGAGGTGCTACGAACACCAGTAATAAATATTGATTTTGCTTGTTTGTTTGTTTGTTTATCTATTTTGAACATACCTAATACTCCTTCCTCCTCCTATTTTCCCCACAATTTTGTAGATTTGGCGTAGAAGCTAGACATGCTCTGATCAAATTAATTCCATTAAATTTTACTTTTGAACTTTATATAGTCCCTTCAAAATTGAGTTGGGCAATGAATAGATGAATTCAGGAGTTCACGGTTGGCCTGTAGTCCATCACATCTGGAGGAAACCAAGTTGGGAGGTGATTTCTAAGTCTTGTTCAACAGTTTACTTGTTTATCCAAAATCTTCCCTAAAGTGCCATTTGCAACTGACTTTCTGAAATGTAAAACTTGATTGCATTTTTTTTCTGGCTTTTTCCAAAGCATGGCTTGCAGCTGTCCACTTATCCTGGCACATTTGTATCTTTATTTCAACAAAAAGATCAGTGCAGGAATGCTTCAGAGGCCTTACTGACAGGGAAAGATGCAGTTCTAATCCTCATATCTGGAAAAATAGCTAAGGGGTATATTAAAAAAAACAGGTGCTAAAAATAGATGTTTTGTGCTGAAACCTTTTCAGACCTTTGAAATGCTGAGGTAAAAAGAAAAGTGTCTGGAAAGTTGGGAAGGACCAGGAAGTTTCTACAAATTTGTGTAGAATATGGATGGCAGATCCTCTTTTTTTTAATAGAAAATAAAGTTGAGGCATTCCCCAATTTTATATTTAAAAAACGTGTTTCATTAATTACCGGTTTCAGCCAGTAAGCTTCACAGCAGACCTTCATATCCTCATATAAATAAACAAAAGAATGCAGAGCTTATCTGACTCTAAAAAGGGATAAAACCTTTAATTAATGAAACTAAAGTGCTGCGGTTCTGCAGATACTTTCGCTTTTCGAAAAAGGTATGGTCAAATGCCAGGAAAATTGATAGCCACGACAGAAGGGTATGTTTCCCAGTAATAAATAAAATTTCCCAAATAAAGTCTTATAGGAACTTCAGCTTCTTTCATATTTTAAGAAAATAGCCCATCTGTCCTGGCTGGGGGATACAAAAAGCTGAAGAAACCACACATCCATAAAGAAATCGCTTACTTAAAGCCGAAGTAATTCACTTAGTAAAGTCCCCAACTTCCCCAGAAATACAATTCCCAGAATATCAACTCTTTTGTGTACCTGCTGAGAATTCTGGGAATTGTAGTTGCGGAACTACAGTATTTTCCATACGCCATTGTAGCCTCTCTCTCTCTCTCTCTCTCGGGCGGCTTTTCTGCCCCTCTCCAGACCCGCTCCTCAAAAGTCCCGCCCCTTTCGGTTTCCCCATCAATCCATTGGTTGGGAGAAAAGGAGGCGGTGGGAAAAGCGGGTAGTAGTGACAATAGGTGGCCTATCCCGAGCGCCCGTGCTTGCGCGCGTGTCGGAAAAAACGCGCGAGGGCGAAAGCGAGCTGTTCGTGGGTGGGGAGGAAAGCCGGAGTTCGGCGCGGAGTCTTTCCAGGCGTGGGGCCTCCAATTTCTGCAGCATGTGGTCTGGTCACGGTGAGGGCGGATAGCGGGTTCTTGTATGCGAGAATTCGGAAGGTCTTCCCCTCTTCCTCTTTGGCGGCAGTGTGGGAGCAACTCCCATCACCCACAGCCTGTACGGCTATGCCTCATGGGAGCTATACTCTATTTTTTTTCTTCTTTCGTGTGTCGCCATGATTACAATAGCCACGATGACATTTATTTATTCGTTGTATATTGCCGCCCATCTCCTATATGTGATCCTAGGTGGCTTACAGTAAAATAAAATTTAAAAATATGCATAAAATAAAATACAGCCTCCAGGCATTATTATAGCATTGTATAAATGATGAGATTAAGTAATAGGGTCATATCTGGCAGAAATACCCAAGCTGTCTCAATTTTCTTCCCCTGCAGACTGTCATGACTCTCGTGATATTTTTAGTTTTGGTTTTATTTTAATATTTAATGAAGAAAAAAGTAACAGAATATATTTCTATGCACTTTTGCTGCTTTGAAAGAATTCAGAGACTTAAAAATGCAAAGAAAAATGTTTTTTTCATATTTTTTCTATTTTTTCCAGGAGGTTATGACAGCAATTATGGCAACTATACACAATCACCTGGAGGATTTACATCGCCTTCTGCAACCCAAGGCGAAAGAAAATCAGTATGTACTTATTTATATCCAATTTATTTTCTGAAAAACTGACAGTAAAAGAATTATAGTGTAAAAATTTCATCTTTGCAGAGGTCAAGATCACAAAACATCGTTCCCTGTACAGTATCACAACTATTTTCAGCTGAACAAGTGGATGATGTTTTTAGGGTCCGTGAAGTTGAACTTTCACAGGTAATTTTCAAAACTGCCTTTACTATGTTTACATTTTATTATAGATTTATTATATTTATTCAGTTTGTATGACTGCCCATCACAAAAAATGACTCTGGGTGGCAAACAGTATTAAAATAAATTAAAAACATAATTCCATTCATGAATACAAAAATTAAAATACACAGCAGCTGAGAAGATATCCCAGCAGAGCCGGGAGTCACTATCCTTCATGCACTTGGGGTCCCAGGCCTGGGCAAAGAACCCATGAAAGGCCAGTAGGGTCTAATTTCCAGAAGAAGAATGTTCCACAGGGTGAGTGCTGTGGTAGAAAAAGCAAATTTCCTGGGTCCCGCCAATCTGCATTTCTTGGCCAGAGGGATATGGAACTTGCCCATCCTGTCAGATCCAGATAGGATGAATAGAAACAATTAGGGAAAGACAGTCCCTAAAGTAACCTGTTCCCAGGCCATGAAAGGCTTTAAAGGTGACAGACAGCACCTTGAATTGCATCAGAAGCACAACTGCAGCCGACACAGCTCACAAAATAGTGCCGTTACATGCACCGAGCAACTGGCACCATTTACTATCCATGCAGTCACATTGCATATCATTTGAAGCTTCCGAACATTATTCCAGATTTTAGTTCTGCCAAGATTCCTATACAAAGGTTTTATTTAAATGTTTCCTCTGTGGCATGACAAATTTTCATTTGATTGTGCCAAATCATGATCCATTCATGGTACATACATTTGTGTGGTTAATTAAATATAAGGATTAGTAGAAAGAGCCATCTTACAATCTATTTATTGAGATTTGCTTCTGTTTCATCATACAGGTTATTATTGTGGGCATAATCAGGCATGCTGAAAAAGCTCCAACAAATATTCTCTACAAAGTGGATGACATGACTGCAGCCCCAATGGATGTGAGGCAGTGGGTCGACACTGATGTAAATATCACGTAGGCATCAGTAGACATGAAAAGAGATAGTATAATGTGGCAGCTATAGAACTGAGGAAGCTCATGTTCAAATCCATACTCATTTTAGAATAATAAAATAAAAGGGAGAGCCACAAATGCTACTTGACTTATTTGGAAGGAATGTGGATTCTAAATGTAATACGTTTATTACAGAGTTTGCAATTTGCTTTCACTTAGCTTTGGTAATACAGTGGGGTAAAGTAAGGTAATGGAATCCTGGAATTCTAGGTTGAGTTGCATTACTTTGTAAAACATTGCTGACAAATGCCAAGAAATCATTGTCTCTTTTATTCAAGGAGGAGGGGAGTGAAAATGTGGTTGTTCCACCAGGAACCTATGTGAAAGTAGCTGGTCATCTGCGATCTTTCCAGGTAAGAGCCATGGAACTGAAACATTTGAAAATGAGAATTGCCACATAATACTGGATAATTCTGTTTTAGCAAAAGTACTGAATTAATTTTGAGCTCCCCCAACTAAAGACATTTAAGTGCTGTCTTCTAAAATCCTCTTGTTATATCTGTGAATGTCAGATGAGAAGATAGCAAATAGGTTTGTGCTTGTGACATATTTAATTTGGCAAGAGTATTCCTTGACTATTGAGAATCTGTTTGTTTAAGACATTTTTCTTTGATTTTGAGAAAGTAAAAATGTGTTTACAGTCCGATAGTTATGTTACTTTCCTTTTTTCACCATTAAAATAAATTAGCTATATCTTAAGCTAAATTATTGCTTATTATTTTAGAACTTAATTACTAGACAAGTTTTCTTTCTTTGTCATTTTGGAAATATTGCTGTTGTTTGCCTGACAAGGAAACTAGTTTGGTTTACAGCAGGGGTCTTCAAACTTGGCCCTTTTATGACGTGGCCTTCAACTCCCAGAATTCCTCAGCCACGCCTCAATTAATGCAAACCAAAGCTTGGTAGGTTGTGTGAGCCAGAGCACAATATAGCTAGAAAAATACAATGTATTTTAAAAAAATAATTACAAACAGTGAATTGGACTCATAAGTTCCTAAGCGTGAGAATAGGAAAGAAGTTAAGTAAGCATGGGTAAAAGCAAAACTGTTTTTAGAAGTAAAAGAATAATGTCTTACAGAAAAGACATTGGTCACCTCTGAAAAATTCAGTTAGCATTCTAAGCTAAGTATTATATAGGAATTTATTGTTTTACATTGTGAAAATAAAATGATTTTATTTTCTTAGATTATAATGTTAATAAACTTAATAATCAGGTCTCTTTTCTAAAAAAAAAACCAAAAAACTTGTTGGCAGAACTAGGAAATTACTGGTAATTTTGCCAACTTGTTAAAATGAGCATCATTGGCTGTTAGAAAAATTAACATTGCTATGGGGTCAGTAGAAAATTTTTAAACGTAGATACACTGTGTCAAGTTCATTAGAAATATTATTGAAGATGACAAAAATGTATAAAATTAAAGTATTCTTGCAATACTTTATTACTTAGAATCCTTAAAGAACAGAAACGTAAAAGACAAACCTAAATTTTTAGAAGAGTCTAAAAGGAGTGAATATTTAATAAGACCATGCACACTATTAAAAAAATATTCTTGGCCTTCGTTTTTTTTTTTTTTTTTTTTTTTAAAACACAATGAATGTGCTGGTATTCTTATATGAAAAAGCTTGTTTTTCCCTGTTATGTGAATATTTGGAATTTGTTTTGAAAAGTATATCTCTTGACCGCCATTGGCAAAAAATGTTTAATCTTCTTTTAAAATTCCAGAACAAAAAGAGCCTGGTTGCATTCAAGATTATGCCCCTGGAAGATATGAATGAATTTACTACACATCTGCTTGAAGTTGTCAACGCACACATGGTCCTCAGAAAAAGTAACACGGTATATGAGGAAGTAAAACACACTTTAATTCAGCCTTTCCTGACCTAGTCACATATGCCTAGGCCAGGGGTAGGCAACCTTGGCTCTTTTATGACTCATGGACTTCAATAGCTGGTTCAAGAATTCTGGCTTGCCATCCTAGAAGAAGCAGTCTTAATATATTGAGATGGTTCCAGGTCGTGGAAAGGGACAAACTGATTGAAAGTTGTAGAGAGCTTTAACAAATGGCATTGTTTCAGGTGGCTAGAGCCCAATTTCTATTTTACACATGCAGAAATATACATAATTACCATTTTTCTTTGACTTTTAGCCCCAATCTTCAAAGATACCTCAGTCCTTTGGTGTATTTGAGACAAGCAGTATGTCAAATGCCGGAGGAAATGATTCCTTGACAATGCATGGTCTTACACCACACCAGAGTCAGGTATGTCAGTTACCAGGTCACAAATGAAGGCAAATGTACATGTCGCAAAATCAAATCTGGGTCGGTCACTGGGACCAGAGGTTTACTCTTCTGGGCTTTTGGACTCGTGCTGGAGCCCATCTTCAGAGAACTTCTCTCTACTGGAATATGTGTTTTGGGCTATTCTGTGAGTCGTGTTTATGTAGTGTCTTCCTGGTTGATTGGTACATTGATGGCTGGCGATTGGCTATTGTTTCCTTATGCTGCCAAGCTCTTGGCTCCTAAGTACCTGATAAGCTGGTGGTAAATCAGCACTCCTGTTGACTGACAAGAGGCCCGTTTCCCAGGCTTTAATCATTTCCCTGTCTATCTTTGTACCTGTACGGCCAACAATCTTAGTAGCTGCAAAATTAAATGTGTGTCCTTGTTTATTGCAATGTGAGGCTACCAATGAGTTTGGGTCTCCTCTGACCGCTCAGTTGTGTTCTTGCAATCTAGTGGTTAGCTTCCTCTAGTTACCAGGCCAATTCTGAGCTTGGCAGCAAAAGTAAAACTCCATACAGCTGAAGAAAGACTTTTCATTTTTATATCACTGCATGTTTCCACTCTAGAAGGTTGAAAACAGAAACTTGTGTATTGATGTAACATTGCTGTTGTATAACTAATATGGCTTTTTTGTTGTTAAAAACACTTATATTAGATCTATTCTGCATTTGCCTTTGAATAACTGTGAACTCTTGCTTTTTGAAGGTTCTGAATTTAATTAAAAGCTGCATGACAACTGAAGGAATAAGTCTTCATGATCTGAAATCTCAGTTGCATAATATTAATCTACAAACGCTCAAGTACGTAACAGAATGGGAAACTAGGCTTTTGACATACTGGGCTGTTGGTGTTCCTATACCGAAAGGAAGGCATATTGATTCCTTTCAAACCTGAAATCTACACCTTTGGTAGAGGGTCCAAATCAAAATTAATTTATAAGGATAAGGATAATGTACACTAAGCAATTTCCTTTTACATTCTTAACCCTTTTGTATTTTATGTTTGGTTCTTTCAAAGCACTTTTCAGCATCATATTCTCTCTTTTGGTAATCTATGTTTTGTTAATACTGTACACGAAAGAAAATGCCAGGTCATCCAGGGGAATTCTGGATATTTTTCTTATATGCTTTGTGTTTTGGTCAGAGTTTTTAGATTTTGCCAGGTTTAGATGTGAGACAAGGAATTTGTCTTATAATGACTTTGACTTTATTTTGGTTGGTAGCATCTACTGTGGCAATTTTAAACTATATTCTGATTGGGTTTGTATGTTTCATATGATTTTTTTTCTTGTTATATTGTATATAAAATGTATATTGATCTATGCTGTTCTTTAGTTACAATAAAGTTTAAATTTTAAATTTTACTGAAGAAATTATTTTTCCCTTCCTTCCATTTAGGAAAGCTGTTGAGTTTCTTAGCAGTGAGGGACATATATATTCCACTATTGATGATGAACATTTCAAGTCTACAGATGCTGACTAAGTTCTGACTGATTTATAATAATCCAATTTTTTATAAGATCCAAGACTGTTTTGCCTGATTTAAGTCTCAAAGTATTTCTTGATGATGACACATAAGACTGAATGGGACATGGGCACATATCTAGAACAGATGCCTCTATCCAGCTGTTTTGTGGAGAGGGGGAATGCCATGGTTTAAGACTCTTTGTGCCTTTTTCTGTTAATGGAATCCTTTAAAAAAAGTAGTTTATTTGCAGTAGATATTCAGTCTACAATGATTTACATTTCACAGAAACTCTGGAATGTCAAGATGTTTTAACTTTGCTCCAGCTTCTGTTTTCTTCTAAATATGCAATTTTGTACACCAGAACCCCCATAACTTTGTATAATTATACTATGCAGTCTTGTACAATATTGGGTTTTTGCCTAGCTCAGAGATCATACTTACATAATTATGTAATTTAATTTTAGGATGGATTCTTTCACTGCAAATAGTAGGTTAAGATTTATTCTTAGTTTAACAATTTTATTTTAAATTCAGGAGCAGAATTAACACATATACTGGAATCTGATTTGATTATTCATACAGAAATGTAACAAGCACATACAGGGACATAAATGTAGATTACATACTCAAATTCTGGCTGAGAATGTAAAGATTTTTGAAAGTTAAGATGAAAATGCTAACATCTAATACATGTAAAAATATAATAAAATCTTGCTGTTCTGAAAATATCCTTGTGTGATAAGTCTCAAAATATGTTAAAAGAATAATATAAAAGCTTGGTTAGAATTGCAAGACCAAAATGCCATCATTTCAGCTCCAGGGATTCAATGATAGTTATTAATTTCTTATGGTTATACCTTTCAAAACTCAAGTTCTCTGATTGCTTCTCACTGAAATTAAAGTCTTCCTAATTGTCAAAAATTGGAAGGTAGATTTTTTTTAAAAAATTAAATTCTATGGTTTTTCAGAACACTATTTCTTAGATTTAAAACCTGCCTTTCCTCCATGAATTCAAACAACATATTTACCTGTCCTCTCCCCCACCCCATGTCCTCAACAACCACCCCATGAGGAAAATTGAACTGAATGCTTCGTCCCAAGTCACCTGGTGAGTTTCCATGAATGAAAGTGTATCTTCCTGTCGAACTCAATATTTGAACCTTTATTGTGATGGAATGTGTAGTAAGGAGATGGGTTCCAAGGACGGAGAGTGTGCATTCCAGAGTAGAAAGGCAACAGTTCAGATATAATGTGTGAGAGGAGGCTGAAGATAGACCCTCCCTAATAATTCACAGAATATATGGTAGATACAGATAGACTGCAGTCTGGCAAGATTCTGCCTATAGGTGTGGAAACAATAAAATACTTGGGAATGTGTGTTCATGTGCCATTTTTGGTTTCAGACATGGAAATTATGTAGGACTGTCTACATGCATCTCAGTTGTTCAGACCGAGAGCTTTTGCAGCTGTGTAAAGTATCTTGGGTTGGCCCAGATTTTAAATAATTTCTCTGCTAATACTTTTGCATTCTACCACTCTTCTGGTTTGCCCTTGTCCTTTATCTTTAGAAGGGAAGATTCCCCCCCCCCAAAAAAAATTCCCATGGTATTGAATTACTTTACCAACAGCCTTATCAACAAAAATTGGTATCCCATTTGTAAAAAGTATTGTTTTCTACCCTTTATGAACTACCATTGTCATTTTGAAGCAAGACGTAACTTTTTCACATCTGGCACACAAGTACTTCTCCATACATGACATCTGTTCTAATTACATATCACCAAAACACTTGGATGCAGAATACCAAAAGACATCAATTTTACCAGTAAGAGGAAATCAAATATGACCTTGTCTCCTCGGTTTATTCTGGCTGGTAGGGCTCCTGCACGAATATTCTAGTAGAATATATCCCAAGACGAGATGCAGATGTTCTAAAGTACGGCAGGAAAAGATTAATCCAAGAAAGGATTTAATCCAAAATAATCCTTTCTAGACTTCCTAGAAAATACTGCTATGAGGATCCGTGTAGCGTTTACGTTCTGACAAAACGATTCATCAATACTATGGCCCATTTCTTTAATATAACTTTTCAGTACAACCACTTAGAATACTGCATATAATTCATGTGTCTAAATATGAACTATAATGGTATTACAGACCTGAAAAACCTGGCAAATGATTAAAAGAATGTAACAGCTTTTTTTCAAGGAACTAAAGAACTGGTACTCTTTAAGAAAAATAATAAAGAGTGGACAGTAGGCGAGAGAAGTATAAATTCATCATATTACTAAAAATGTGGGCATTGTACTTCTATAATCCTGAAGCTAAACGTAAAGAGAAGATGCCATTTTTGCACAAACAGATGAAACTAGTGAGCGCTATCAATGTAATTTAAAGACAGGCTTGAACAATCCATGGAGTTTCCAGTCATGTCTTGATGGCTTTAATCAATCCTCAGAATTAATAATAGGTAGTCCTTGTTTAGTGACCACAACTGCAATTGGCAACGTAATCACTAAGTGAAGCAGTCACCAAGTGAAACCATGACTCTGCCTATGAACTTACTTTATAGCTTTCCTTTTACACATCAGTAAAGGTCATAAATGCAAGGATTGGTTGTAAAGTTACTTACTCATCATGTCATAAATGATTGTTAAACAAGGACTACCTGTATGCATTCAATATCAGTGACAAAGAACAGCGTGGGACTACCACCATTATATTCCACTTGAAAGCTTCCTAGAAGCATTAGTGAAACAGAGTGTAATCCCATAAAACACTTTCATATTCCTTTTATGATTTTAAAAACATTGTACACTGCTTTAAATATTCTCATTAAAGAAAGAGCAAGGTTAAAAAATATTAAATAAAACGGAATGGAAATTAGGCAGGGTAGTTTTTACCATGAAATCTGAAAATACAAATTAACTCTCCATTTGGCAAAACAGTCATTTAATTTACAGTGTAATAAATGTTACAGATAAAAAGCTCAACAGTGTGAAAAGGCCTATTACACAAATGTACAAATGTCTGTACAGAGCCCCACACACTTAATCCCTCCCCTCCCTGCCCCAATTTCAGCCAAGCTTGGCTTCAAAGAACTGAAAAGACAAGTTTGTACTATCCCAAGGAAGTCAGGGCCAATGCCAGCGCACAGTAAACTCCCAGATGTGTTTTGCAAGAACCAACTACTTTTTCTTAAATCTTACTTTAAAATCAAGCAAGGGAAAGTTCAAGTATTTTAAATTCATCGCAACTTGAGCAGGTACCCTCACAAATTAAAAAATCATTCCACAGCTTTGGGAAAATTAATAATCCAGAGAGATAAAATTGCAAATGAAATGAGAGGATTTGGAGTATAGGACATAAAGTTCATTAGTCATTAGCAATTTTTTCCAAGAATTATGTTACCTAACATAATTTTTTAAAATTGCATTTTTAAGAAGCCTAACATAGAAAATGAAACAGAAAATCAGATAGTGGAGAAGTATTCATCTGCTTATATGATATAATCCAATATACCACTGGGAGGGGGAGGGGAAGCAGTTGTTCAGGTTGGGCAGAGACAACTACAAAGAATTATTTGGCCCATTTTGCAGGAAGATGCAGTTTTGGATAACTGCAAAGTTTTTAAAATGACAACAATCTTCTATCTTAGCTCACTCAATTTTAATAAATATCACCAATTTTAATTGGGGAAAGAAAGTGATACGGTTAATTTCTCCAGTGAAATCTATTGGACAAAGTGCTTGAACACATGACACCTGCCCATTATTGTGCTACAAAGGATTGTGAAGTGCCTCTAAATACCCAGAATCAAGAACAGTGATGATCAATAGCTTGCAGCCTAAGAGTCTAGAACATCATATGGGATAATATTCCTCCAATTTAATAGCTATTTGGGGATACATTCATACATTGAAATCAATGGCAATGTCTTGCTCCAAATATTTGGAACAGGAATGAATATATTTAGTTTTGTTTAGTTAAAAAGAAATTAATTATAGAATGATGGAGCTGAGTTTAAACAATGATTTTTAAAAAATGCAGTTTGATGTGAGAACTTGGCTGACCATTCTTGGGCTCAACTTCAGGGTTACCCCATTGAGGAACTGCTTGGGGAAACAGCATTAATCTTAATTAATTAATATGGTATCTGAAAATCATACAAAATTATTGCTAAATATTTTTACTTCCTGATCCATCAACATAGTTAAATGTGGCTATTGGGTAATTCTTGTTCTGTTAAGGACTGGTCATAAAATCTAAGTTTTACTAAATCTGAAATGGTCATAATCTTTTCCCAGTGGTTCCAATCAAGAATGTCAAAAAGCAATTACTTCCATGACCATTTCATTTGGTTTGCAGCCATCAAAATGATGGTAGTTTACCTTGCAAATGCAAAGGGTTCTACCTGTACTAAAAGCACTTCATAATCCTGAGATACAAAGCAAAACATGGTATTTGATTTATATGAAAACTATTACTGACGTGCTTGTCAAAATACTATGTAAGTGTCAAGAACATCTGCTGGGGCTGGGTTTCTTTTGAGACCAGTTGACCCAAAAGAAAAGAAAAAGAACTGTGACACTATCAGCAGAAAACCACCTGCCATTTCTACATTTGCAACATATACACAAGGGCAGTGCCCCTTAAATGCATGAGTAATGCCAGAATAAAAGTAACTGGGCAACTGTAATGTCTGGGTAAATGAAAAAGAATCTGCCAGGTAATGTGGTTCCACAGGCAGTGAGAGAGATATTTTTGCATTTCATTTCTTAGACACCTTTTGAACTCTTCTGAAGGTTGGTTGTGTAAGGAAGTCACAAAACCCCACAAAACCCGATATGACCCCAGTCTGAGAGTTGTGGCTGCACTTGTTCAGTTCCCCCTTGCCTGCCTGGCTTCTGCCTCCCGGAACAGACTCAGATTGGCTCTTCAGATCAAGAGAGAAGGGGTTGGCTTCTTGCCTGGCCAAGCTTCTTTTGCGTATTTCTTTTTCTTGGGCTCATTCACAACTTCAGGATTGAAGACGGCAGGGTTGGGAGATGGGTTCATGGCAACAGTGGAGGGGGCAACTGGAGTCAAGTCCACGTCTGGGGCAAGATTAGGATAGGGCATTGGTAACCCCCCAATGAGCGCTGTGCCGTGAATGGTGTGGGTCTGGGCACCTGCCTCATTGTGGGTGGGAGGCAGGCCTCCATACAGTCCTCCACTATAAGGAAAGTTCTGCATGCGACGTGTTGCAGCCTCATCTACAGCCAGGGAGCCAGAATTGTCCATCCGCTTCTTCTGTCAAGAAACAAAACACCTGGAATTAAAGTATGGCCCAAATACAAAGACATTTAGTAGAATCTGTGCTTTTGTGAGGAGGTGGATCCCCAGGAGGGAGGGGGTACATGCCAGAGGAATAAGAGGCTACTCAGCCCAGATATCATATATAAGAGGATGAAGACAGCCCCCCCCCCAAATAGTTCACAAAGTATACTGTAGATCAGGAATATCCAAACTTGGCAACTTTAAGACTTGTGGACTCTCATGGCTGGCTGGGGAATTCTGGGATTTGAAGTCCACAAATCTTAAAAATTGCTAGGATTGGACACCCCCCTCTGTAAATGCAAATAGGAGAGTCTTCAGTCTAGCAATATTTTGTCTATAGGTGTGAACAATAAGGAACTCAGCTCGGAAGAATTAACACATTATTCTTGGTTTTGGGCCTGACAACTTTTCACTTTAAAATACCAACTCCTCATTGTTAGCAGGGTTAAAAACAGAATTAGGTCATGAATTTCAGTTCCCTCCACTTTCCATTTTTATCAAGTCAAATCTAAACCTATTCTCTCACAGTTGTAACCTAGCAGCTAAAACCTCACACAGAACTATTTTAATTCACAGCTGAGAATTTGGTTCTCCATGAATCTATTTCTTCTTTAAAGTTAGTTAATCCTGTGTTCAGTGCTGCGTGGGTAGAGCTTAATTTTTGACTATTACTGAAGAAATACTTCTTAATTTGTACGTCAAAGCAAGCTGTGAGCCACGGAAATGAATCTTGATTAAAATGTCTTCCTGGCTATGCAGAAAAGGAAGGGAGAATGAGGGCAACGATCTTTGTTTCTGCAGTCTAGTAACCAAGAAAAATGGTTGTTATATAAAATGGAATTCAGAAGCTTTTCATCTGGATGATTTTTATATTATATTTGTTATTTCAATAAAAGATTGCTCATGAATTCAATTCTTTTTCTGTTCTATCAAAATTTAATCTTATTTCTTTACATATTGTTGGCAAAAATTAAATCTAATCTAATTGGCAACATAGTCCACTGGGAAAAATGTAGTTAGGATCAAATGCAAGTTCTAATACTGACAGTATATTTGTTCTGATTTAGCAGTAATAAGAACCAAAGTGTTTAGTTTAGGCCCATATTATTTTAATAAAGTAAAGAGCCATGTCAGCTTTATGTTTCTCAATCCAGTTACATACCTTCACTGGAACTACTGCAGTCTGTACCATGTTTCTGAAACGTCCAACAGAAGGGTCCACGTCCTCTATAGGAGTACAAGAGATTGAGGTATTAATAGTTAATCATAAATGAAATCTCAGGAGTATATTTAGCACTGAAGGAATTTAATACAAATCTTTTCAAAAGGAAAAGCATTACCATTATCTTCTTTAGGAAAATATCTATATATTGATAGATGCTTACACGCAAGTAACAAGGCAGGCAACTTTCTTTAGGAACAATATATAGTTCCACAGGGATTGGTGATGTGGTACCCTCCAGATGATTTGCACTATAATTGCAACTCTTGATCATGATAGTCAGAAGGGATGAGTTGTAATTCTAACCATCAGAAGGGAACTGGGCTGCTTATTCCTGGCCCACATTACTCACCTGGGTTAATAATTTCATCATCATCACTGAATGTTACTCTTGAGTTCTTTCGTTTTCTTTTTGGTCTTTGGATATCCAAATTCCCTTCTTCTATTGTCAGTGTGGAAATCCTCTTATTATGGGCCGTATTGAACTCTGTCAGGTTCTAAGATGTCAAAGAGAAAGATTGCTATTGCAGGACAGATTAAAGGATTAACAGTTTGTGGGGGGATAAAAACTGCTATAATTTCCTACTCTGTTGTGGCAGTGATCTTATGACATTTCTGGGACAGAACTTGATCCTTTTGTGGGGTTTACTGGGGGGGGGGGGGAAGAGGCATTATAAACCTTGGGGGGAAAATATCCTGGCCAAACTTTTGGGGAGAATATTGGAGTTTAGAATATGGGAAAGCTTTAGGAATCCATTCTGTTTCTTAAAATCTGTCACCAAAGTGTAATTTTGAAAAAGTCAGCCCCTTTTTTTATAGGGAGTACCACTTCATTTAAACCCTAATAAAGAGGAAACTTCAATAGGGAATTAGAGCAAACTTGAGCCAGCTCTGCACGTTGGCTGAGGAATTTTGGGAGTTGAAGTCCACAAGTCATAAAAGGGCCAAGTCTGAAGACCCCTGGCTTAGACCAATAAAGAAGATATATATCCCCAACTAAAACAAGCAACTAGAATGTGGTTGGAAGAATTTGGTCACTATTACTTTTCTCTTCCCTGGGGCAACAATAGCAAATTTGTCACATAGGAACCTCTCTCCCCACTTTTAAGAATAGCACAGTTCTACTCAGGTGCTAGTGCCAATCACCGTTCAAGCCAAAAGGTCTCTGTTCCCTTCACAAACTAGATGTGCAACATGGGTACCACAATACAGGTAAAACACGGTGCTCACATCTAACTCTGTTTCTTCCTCTGGCAGACCAAGCAAGCCCTTGAGTTCATCGTCTTCGCTGGTCATTTTCTCATCTCCTTTCACCGCTGAGGGCAATGTCTGAGGCTTTTCTCTCAGGGTGTAGGCCCGCGTGGAGGCACCAAAGGAAACCGTGGAATCAATGGGAATCTGTTGTGGCTTATGAGGCTCCAAACGAATATGGCCTAAAAACGTGCCGTGTGCTATGCATTTTAGAATAAGGAGGAGAGGAAAAGCAACAAATACTAATCATGTTACTAAAATATTACTTAAACCATAGTCCCTTTTCTAAATTTCAGCGTGTTCCTCCCTCTTAAGCAGTGCACTGTACTATTGAAACAGTTGCACACCCATTGTTTATCAACTTACTGCTGTTGAGATCTATAAGAAAAACTCTCTTCAGATGTTTATGGTAGACCAAAGCAGCATGGACCCTAGAGCATGACTGGTGATCTATGGTAAAGTCGCACAGGTCGGGGTTTCTCCCAAAGAGATAATATTTCTTCTCATCGATGATCAGTTTCTATGACAAGATATCAAAGACAAATGGGTGGATTTTTTTTTATTGGTGTGGGAGGGGAAGCCTATACTTTCTTAAAATCATGGGCCTGGGTATAAAAAAGGGGAGAACCTCATTATGCCATGAGAAGAAAAGGCAACCCAAAAGACTAGCAACTGAAAAATGTGCCACTTATGGATAAGCCAATCCTTAAAATTTTCATGTTTTAATTTTCAGATTGGCTTAGCCACAGGTGGCCAGTTTTCACTGTATTTTAGTTAAAAATTTGAAGGTTGGCTTATCCGCAAGTATGTATGGATTCTTAAAAAAAATTATACTGCCAGATTACAATGGAATTGGGACTAGAATTTCCATTGCTAAGCTACGTGGTTATAAAGCATGACATCGTACGACCTCATTGCTTAGTAATGATAATCCTGGCAATCCCAGTTGCCACTGTAACTCTAGGACTACACCGGTCATTAGTCAAGGACCTGGTATGACCATGATGTAGGAAGGGGCAGAAATCCCAGGCAAGTAAGCCAGTGGGTGAGACCTTCAGTTAAGAGCTACAGGAGGGCGGATGCACTATGGAATATGGGTGGCTGGGAAGATGCTGCAGGCAAGTGCTATGGAGCCCAGGTGTGTCAGTGAAGCAGGAGCAACTTGCAACCTCTGCTGGCTTCTTCACTGACTTCTCTTGTGTCTATCTGTCAGGGAATTTCGCAAATGGCAATCACATCATCATAACTTTTGCTGGTGGTCAAGTCCTTGAATTGTGATTGCATGACTGTAGGGATGCTGTGATGGACTGGTTGTAAGGTCCTCTCGTTCAGCACCATTAAAAATGTGAACAATTGTTAAATGAGCAGTCGTAACCCAAGGACCGTATGTTTGTGTCCATGTGCGTGTGTGTAGGCAGTCCTTGCTTAATGATCACAATTGGGACTGGTAACTCGATGCGATTGCTAAGTGAAAGATCATGCGACCATGATAGATTTCTGTCAATTCTCATTTGGTTGTTAAGCAAGTTACCATGGGTTGTTAAAAGAGACATCATTGACTGTGACTTGAGATGTTCCAGGCTGTGACTCGGCTTGTTGGAAGCCAGTTGTAAAGCATGTTATCGATCACATGTCTCTGGGGAGGCTGAACAGCCATAAATGTGAGGAGTGGCTATAAAGTTACTTTTTCAGCAGTGTTGTAACTTCAAACAGTTGTTAAACAGGGGAGCCATTAAGCAAGATCTAGCTCAGGGATAGGGAACCTTGGTTCTTTTATGACTTGTGGACTTCAATACCCAGAATTCCTGAACCAGCCATGCTGACTCAGGAATTCTGGGAGTTGAAGTCCACAAGTCATAAAAGAGCCAAGGTTCCCTACCCCTGGTCTAGCTGTATTTGCAGATAAGGCAATCCATGAATAAATCAAACCCAATTTTGGGAGTGTATTTTGGAATTTAAAATTCTTAATTTATCTGCAAATAGATAAGGTAATTAATCAATATACAAATTTATTAATGCCACATGACACTGCTTTTCAGCACGGGACAATTTCTACTATCTAAATGACAATGGTACCTGCAAAAAAAAAAAAAATCAACTAACATAATTGAGCAGCTCTAGAAACAAATATAATAAGGAAACAAACTGATTGGGAAAGCAGAAACGCTAATAATTATTTTGCCATTCTTAAAGGCATCAACCACTAAAATCTCATTTGTGCCTCTGAGTTATAACCCGGTGTGATTCTCCACACATAGAGCTTAATCACTTCATGGCTTAACTTTGATGTTGCACTTTTTAGACCCAGCCAATCACTAGTTACACCTTTGAACTCTAAATGAGAACTAAGGCACAGATGGCTTGGTTAGTATCAAGTGCTTAAGAAGAAGCGAAATAGCACCATAATTTATAGTTACACATTGATAATAGATTCTGCTTAAGAAGTGTTCCATCCCACTTTTGGGATATTTGGACAAACCAGAGAGAGTTGTCAGAAAGTGCATGAGTCATTTGCTCAGTCCTTATACTACTCCCTTCTTTCTTTCTTGTCACACTGCAATTAAACCAGGAATGATTCAATTAATTGTAGCTTTCAATTACATCCAAATACAGATTCTTAAAGTAGTGGCAACCAAGGTTTTCTGGTTTGGAAGAGATACAGTGTTGCAATAGAGAATGAACAATATAAGAATGAAATGCCCAAACACTGTCTAACCAAAGACATGAATCCTGAAAATCTGAAATCCTGCAAAAAAACAGATTTCTGCATAAAAATAATCTGGATCCAAACAGTGATCCAAATTATTAAAACAATAAAAGATATGGGTGCACATTCACACCTAATAGTATAAAAGGATCATTATCTTTGAGTACTTGGATGCAAATAGTCAGATACCAGTCCAATAGAAAGAAATTCAGATGGCTTGCTAAAAATAGCCAAGACAAACTGAAACTAAAATAAAAAATTAGATATTCAGCCTTTCTTTTTGCCTGTGATAAGTGCTATAGCTATCCAATGCTGTATGTCACCTGGCTCATATTTAAATTTTCTGCATCTATTTTCATACCTCAATAAGTTTGTCTCCTTTGACTACATCCAAGTGCAACCCTGGTGGAGGTTTTCCTGCCCTAGGAAACAAAAACAAGAAAAATATTTTGTTTAAGAATACTTAAAGTAGTCATTGGAATCTCTGAAGTTATCAACAGATATAAAATGACCACAAATTGCTCTGACAGGGAAAACCTGAACTTGGGCACAAAAAGTCAATTATGCTCAGCACTGATCCAAACATTTAGTTTAACTGAGCATTCGTGAGTACGTTTTAGATATATAACAAATTATGAATCAATGGCCTTAAGATGGTTGCCTCAAAAGGGGACTGAAAATTCATTAACTTGGGCCTACAAATCATCAAACCTCCAGTTCATTGGGAATATGATTCCAGTTGTTTGGAAACAAAACTGGTATGTCCTATTTATGGATTTCCTGGAAGCATCTGGAAGACCACTGTGAGAAACAGCATGAATCAGAATGATTACTTTGCCTTTTGGCGACAGCATCTACTTGGAGAGATTATTTATTTATTGAATTCAGCATATCAGGAAACAAATTTATCTACAAATACAGTCTTACATATTTCTGTGATGTATAGGATTATATGCTTGATTTAGAGAGGATGTGGCTGGGAGACAAAACTACATAACATGACTACATAACTACATAACATCTCCTGCTCAGATTTTGCCTCTGCTACAAAGTATTTTAACTTTTATGCTCTCCCAAATCTGCTACAAAACGAAAATTAACAGCTAAAACTGTTAATATATGTTAAGCTTTTTGAGCACTCAACATTTCAAATGCTTATTGCAGTTATTTTTGGATGCACATAGTTACCACTACATAAAAAGACACAATCTCCAAGGCTGGCGTCAGAGTCCCTGTTGTGTTCTGTCCTTAGTTAAGGTCAAAACAATGGGTATGATATAAATGATTGTTTTGGTACAATATAGACTTTTTATCTTTGAAACAACAATCTCTCACTCTCTCTAAAAGACCTTGGTGGATATTGTATTACAATCCTTGAGCACATTTGCATTTTTAAGGCACATTTTGACAACTCTTCAACTGCTGCTTTAATCTCACTTTCACATTTTTTTTCTGTAAAGTCTAGCAAGTACACAGGGAAGACTATGATGGAAAAATTTAATAATTATTATTTAAATCACCTAAGTGACACATTCGATAGCCTTCACTATTGTTATTAAAATGCAAAACCTTGCTAGCAAGCTGAAACTCAAATAACCTTTCTACTTGACAACTACTTTGATCTAAGGAATACATATTTGTATATTCCAGACTTCAGTCACTACTCTGTCCATTATTCAGATTTTTACAACTGAGGCAAGATTTGTATCCAAATTAAAACAACCCCAAATGAATGTCCATGCTGCCTAAAGCAATTTCCCTGCCACAACCTCATTTTGTAGGTTTATATGTAGGACTTCAGTAACATACCTAGGATGAAAGTATATTCTGATTTCTCCCAGGCTCAGAAATTTTACAGAAAAACTTATGTCATTTGTCCATATTCAGCAGCCCTGTCTCTCTCATTTCACAAAGACCGTTCAGTAGCCACACAGCCTGCCCTTATCCATCATAGCGGGTCCTATACTGAACTTCTTCGCCATCCCTATTCTGAGGCACATCAATAAGCAGTAAGTCCTCTGCTTATGACCAGAGGCATCCTTTGAGGTGGAAATATGTGTTCTGCCTAAGCTAAAAGCACTCTTTCCCTCCCTTCCATCCCAAGTATTTCACATACGAAGCACGAGACTGCAACGCTCAAAGGACCAGTCCTGAGGATTCCCCTCAATCGGTTCTCCCTTCCAGGGGCTGCTACCCCCCCTCCCCGGGCCCGCTCCCCTCTTTTAGGATGCTGCTCCGCCTCCCAAGAAAAAGCAGTCCCCCTTGCACAGCAAATCGTTTCCCCGCTCTCCAACGGCACACGCCCCCACCCTCACCAGGTCGGACAGTCAAAGAGTGGGAGGCTACCGCCGCCGCCACCGGCACAGTTTGCGTTCGCCGCCATCTTGTGACTGCCCCCATTCAGCTGGGCGCAGGGCACGCCGGGAAGCTGGAAGACCTGGCGGGAGGGCTGCGATCCCAGCATGCATCTCGCCCAAGCGGGCAGCGGGGAGGAGAGGGGAGAGGCAAGCCGCAGAGGATGAAACGTATCCTATCTAAGCGCGAGCGCGGCGTTCGGGGTGACGTCACAACGACGCTCCTTTAAAGAGCGGGAACGCAGAGCCGTGGGGGAGGGAGGAGGCCATTTTATACTCGGGTATTTTGAGCTGGCGGGTTGAGCTTGCTTCTTGTTTGGACAGAAGTCCACGCACCTTTTCCTGCAATCTGTGGCGGTGTTGTTGTTTTTTCCCTTTCGGGCATTTTTTTCTTTAAAAACCTGCAGCTGTTCATTATTACATTATACTTACACGAGAAACGTGTACGTCACAAAGCGTCCCACGGCGCTCTTGCTTTTAAAATCGCCAGCCCGTTTGAGGGGCGGCGAGAGCCTGGCTGAGGTCTCGGCTGATTTTGGAGGAGAAGCAGAGCAACGGGCAGCTGGCAAGCCTTGCTCGTCCTTTCAAGAGATTTGAGCTATTGGAGTTGAGCCGGATGCTGCCGAGTTAATTTTAGAAATGTTGATCCGTTAGTCCTGTGGTCTGTCTGTATTGGGCTGAATTCATGCAATGTCCTAGAACTAATAGCTGCATTTTCACGGTAGTACAAAAAACCATGTTTCAAATATTACAAAGACCATCTTGTGTGGCCCTCAGATTGATTTTAACTTGGTTTGTATTTTGTGCCCTAATATGTTAACGTACCCTGGAAACGAAGTCCGTAACCAGGTTAAACGTGAGTGCAGCCACTATCGCATACTTGGATGAATTCTCAAGGTTGTAAATTCAGGATATTTACAAGATAGCTACACTTTGTCTGAAGAGCTATTGCAAACAATCCAATTTAAACTCATCCCCCTGTACGGCACAACTACAGTACCATGCACTCGTGTTGTATGATGTGCATATAATATGCATGTATTTCCACACTTTGTGTGCCTTGGAGTTCTTGGCTTCTGGCAAATACTGAAGATAGGTCCTTGAATTTTCCATAGCAAGCTTTTTCAGAAGTGGTTGGTCATTGCCTTCCTAGCTGGTTTCTTACCTAAGGCCTAGAGAACCACCCCAGTACTTTTAACCATTATGCTGACTTTCGTTTGCACACTTGGCAAAAACAAGTCTTCTGGTGAATGTATCTTTGATCAGTCTCATTGTCTTCTGACACAGATACATTTACTAACAGCAAAATTCTGTAGTTTTCAATTATCAATTATTTTCTGGTAATTTAGGCTCTCTTGAAAGGAAGATGGGCCACCAAGGTTATCAGAATTGCACTGATATTTAATTTGAAGTATTAAACTTGTAGAACTTCAATTGTGCAGGAAAAAACCCACAGTACCTCCACAAATGAATTTTTCATCTTTTTATAAATACAAATTTGTATCAAAACCATTCTAGCATTCAGTAGTGTTCTTTTTTTTTTTATCCTGCTTCTAGCTCCCAATAGTCAGAATTTATATATAGGTAATCCCTGATGTATGTCCACAACTGAGTCCAAAATTTCTGTTGCTAAGTGAGACAGTTAAAGTGAGTTTTGCCCCATTTTATGATCTCTCTTGACACAGTTGCTAAGTAAAGTCACTGCAGTTGTTAAGCTAGTAACACTTGTTACGTGAATCTGGCTTCCTCATTGATTTTGCTTGTCACAAAAGGTGATAGCATGACCCGGGACACTGCAGTCAACATAAATATGAACCAGTTGCCAAGCATCTGAATTTTGATTATGTGACCCTGGAGATGCAACAGTCATAGGTATGAAAAATGGTTGTAAGTCATTTTTCAGTGCTATTATAATTTTAATCATTAAATGAATGGCTGTAAGTCAAGGATTACCTATATTTTAGATATTACTCCCATAGAGGTAAAATTATCTCAGCAGGTAAAATTATCATCTGAAATAAAAATTGAGTTGAATTTCGTAACAAATAGGGTAAGACACCTCACTATTACTCCAGATATAATCTTCATTCACAATGACTTCTACAGGGAGAATCTGTAGCAGCAAACCCACAAAAGTTGTGCATTATAAAACCTTATTAGGACATAAGCTTTCATGAATTGAAGATGCTGTTCAGAGGCATGAAACATAAATCTTCAACTGATAAGTAACATATGAAGACCCTTTGGAATGGACTATAAAGAACAAAAGTCATACTGTAATATTTTTTTCCTAACAATACCATCTTGGCCTTCAAATGGAAGCCAAATATTTTCTCAACAATTTAAAGCCAATTTAAATCTTTCAGGAAATTTCTGCTAAAAAGAGATGTCAAATATCTAAAAATGTTTATTGATACTTAAATGGATGGAATGATAGTGCAAAGAAAGATGTGCAACTAAGGGCATCATTCTTCACGCAACTTCACAGTTTAGTCATTTAAATATGTAAAATGTGTGAAGTAATAAATAGATGTCAGGAGAAAAACATTCTCTACTTGTATACAGAATGTAACCAAGTCAACATTTTAGGCTTTCCATGCCCATTTTCTTTTAAGAGTATCTATCCAAATAAGTCACCCAGAAATTTCACATAAAATACAAGTTCTGAGCAAATTAAGACACCTAAATCAGGCATAAAGTGGAACCCATGGGTTTCCATAGACACAGAATAGTGAATCTTAGACTGGCATGCTTCTAATCCTCCTTTGATACAAAAGGTTTAAAGCTTCCTTTTACTATTAACACTTTTCCTAAACTGTCCCAATATAGAATTTTTTTTTTTCCAATCCAAGTAGGGTACCAGCAGGTCAGGATTAAACTATACATTTAAATATAAGAGGAAATTAGAAGTCATTCTTCTCACTATATGCAAAGGAGGACAGAAGTCACACCAGCCTCAAGTATGCTGCAATCTTCTTTCATTAAATTTTGTTTTTCTAGTACATTTGACTGCAATATGTGCAGACTGCCTAGGAAGGAAATTGGTACTCCCAACTAGAAACCTTTTGGACAGACATATTTACCAAAATCCTAAAAGAAAAGATGCATAACTTTCTATTATCTTTCCATTTCAGACTCTCTGGAAACTTTTTACTGCTATAGTATTTAATGCACATGCTAGTGGTACAAAGTTGGGAAGAGACAGTAGGATGGGCCATTTCCAATGACACCTTCATTAAAAAAACATCTGGACATATTATTAAGCAATTGATAGTCAACACAAAAATGAAGCAGAGAGAAACAGGACTTTAAATACAAATGCCTTCAGACTAATCATTACCAAATGAGTTTCTGAAAAGAACTGGCTTCAGTATGTCTCATATTAGCTATGCTATGTTTGGGGAAATTGAGATGTTCTCTCTTCCCAAGTTGAAAAACTCTTCTTTGTCTGCTACAGAAGGTCCTATTTTTTTCTCCAGCCCACTGGGCTACACTCAAAGCAGCTTCCAGACATATACAACAGAAATCAGGAATTGTTGTTTCAAACAACTTTGGCAGTTTCCTAAAGGGTGATGCGCATTGCTTGGGATTTTGTACTTAGGAGTTATTATATGAGTCACTTATAAAAGCAGTACACATTAAAAAAGAGTTAGATCTGTAGTGCTTAACGGCAATTAATAAGCTACTCTAGATGACTGATCACATCTTTCAATACTTGGGACAGGAATATTCGGGAAAACAAAACGAAGCCCTGCACAAGTTTAGTTACATAAAATAAATTAACATGTACTGTCTTCATGGTTCACTAAATCCAAGAGCTAGTTATCTTCATGTTAGTTTTTATATTATAATTACTAATGGAAAATCAGTTTGTGTTCCATCTCACCTCAATCTCCTCATTTCTTAAGCTTGTCTCATGGCAGAAATATTGTGTATCTAATTGCACAGAGATACTTCATTTTTGTACTTGCAAAATGATTATTACCAAGATTAAACAAGCTAAAGCCAGGCCAGAAATTAGGATGCAGATCTTCTTGCGTGATTTCTTCTGTTTAAAAACAAACAAAAAACAATAGGGTATACTATAGAGGAAAGAGTTATACAAGAGAAGCAAAATTCAGCTCCAATTTTAGGATTAGAATTACAGTGAAAACCATCCAACATAATTTAAAAACTTGAGTAACTGGACAGTGGAATGCATTGGATAAAGCACTTTTTTTAAACTTCACTTTTTAAAAACTTCAAATAAAACAAGTTTTGAACAGCGATTGATTTGAAACTATTATTCAGAAAAGAAGCATTTTATTCTGTGCAATGTTTGGGTATCTTATCAGCACTAGCACTGATAATGTTACCTAGTTTGGGTAATAGAATATCTGCAAGAAAACAACCAAGCTCAGAGAGCAACAAGGACCCCTCATTTCAACCCTGAGCTACAAATATTCTCCTCTACTTTTAAAAAGCATGCCGTATCTTGGAGGGTGGGAAGCAACAGTTAGATCTCCCAAGACTAATGCATGTGGTTAAGGCTAAACATACAGTTGGGAAATGATCAGAGCTGAGTCAACAGAGGGGTGGCAAGCAGAAGATTAGCTGCTTGTATCCTTTCATGCCTCTCAATCTGCCCTAAGATGTGAACAGTTAAAGGGACTGGAATGGAAAGCTATATATTTCTCATCATTTTGGATTGGAAAACATTCAAAATCAAAATAGAAAGAGAGAATCTCTGAAATCCCAACTATGCTGCCCCTACTTGTAATTTTGAAAGACTTTGGGGCTGTACAAAGGTTACCTGATAATAAGCAGCTCTCTGCAACTGATCATTGGCATTTTCCACATGGACTTCTGCATTTTCTACATTTGCTTCTATGCTATCTATAGAGAAAAAGAACATCCACTTTAAAAAAAAAAAAAAACCACAACCATTACCTCTATATGATGCATTCTTCCTAAAGTTAAACCAGTTTATATATGCTGTATAAAGTTATTTCAGCATGAAATTAGCAGTGTGGCATACTCTTTTGCTGTACTAATCTGCGGATCAATAATTATTAGTCTAGTTCCCAAGCCTGGAGATGAGACCTGGAGATCCAATCGAGTCTAGTCCTTTATATGCTTATACCAAATAGACGGAATCTTGCCAAACTAAAGCTATAACTTTCTAAGCTACTAGATAAACCTATTATATAGTTTGCAGCCAAGTAAATACCACTGTTAACATACCAATCATGTCTCCCTGATCATGGATCATCATAGCCAAATCTTTAAAAATCTGATTCACATCCAAGATATCTGCCTGAAAGGGAAGTATGCAAGAAATTACTGCATTTTGTATTTATATTTTATATTATTCCAGTTATTAGGCCAAATAATTATTCCAATTGCATTTATTTTTTTTCTAAATAACAACCTAGTATGACTTATCTCTAAAGTCTCAATGTCCATACTACACCTACAGAAAGAGGCTTTTGGGAACAGCTATTTGTTGCCCTGTATTACCACTGTTGCTGAATCTTTGGATTTACTCTCCCGATTCATTCTTTAAAATGAAATTTCATTTTCGATTGTGTGCCACAAGCACTAGATCATCTTCCAGTCTTAGAAGAATACTTGGGTTTATGTGTCTGGTTCATCTACTCCAATCTCTTCCCTTTCTACTACATCCTCCTCCTGTTTAATAACTGATTGTAAAAGCGCAACCCACATTTTGCAAAATCATACACTTTGTCTGTTTATCTTTTAAGAAGATACACCAAAATATCAATGTGCTGCACTTTGCAGCATTTTTCCCAAATAACAATTAGAAGCTTTATGAATGGTATAAAGATTCATATCAATTCATCAAATACTATCAATGTTGCACATTTTGCTCTTATTCGAGATTGCCTGGAAAGGTCATGTTCGTATCCCAGATCCCCAGTGAGACATCTATGTATTCACAGATAATGTGCCTCGTGCCTATCAAGTTCTTTGTACCACCTGATTTTAAGTTAAAAAAAAATTATGAAAAACTGACATGCTGCAATGTAAAGAGCCAGCCTCAGGCATCTTCTTAATTTCCATGAATGCCTTTAACCCTCTAAGTTTTCTAATAAAAACAAAGTGATGGATATCTCTAATCTAGAGCAGAGGTCCCCAACCTTTGGGCACCAGGGACCGGTTCCGTGGAAAGAGGTTTTTCCGCAGACTGGAGGGTGCATGGTTTTGTGTGCTGTCTGCATTCCGCGGATGGGGCTTTGCTTGTTTGTGCGGACCGGTTTCTGGCATGCCATGGCCCGGTACTGGTCCATGGACTGGGGGTTGGGAACCCCTAATCTAGAGTTTTAGTTTGAATTGTGTTTATCTGCCTAGAAAAGAACTTAGGTATATAGACATAACAAGAAACATCCTACAGAAGGCAGAACTGAAGGAGATGGCAGTTTGTATTAAGGTAAATAGAGGCTTTTCATTTAGACATATTTTGCATAGCAACTATTTTACAAATGGACAAGGCTGTCCATCCCAATCATTCTCCAAGGTGTTCTCAAAATTCCAACAGTGGTTATCAAACCAAAAAGGCCTTTTGTACAGTATTAGATAAATATCCTAGGATGTAAACGAAGAGCATAGACATGGCTTTTGATAAAGAGAGGCCTTTGACCTTTTTAATGTATTTTTTAAAAACATTGCATCTAGCTAAATCTATCAGCTACTTACTTCCAATTGCCTAATGGCAGTTTCCCTCTCCTTGATTAATTCAAGATCTTGTTCTGTTATAGCTACATCTTCTTCTTGAGCCTGCATCTGATCCCATTCTTCATTGCTGAAGGGGGAAAAAATGGACAATCCACTCTTCTTGTATTCCCAGGAGATCAGGAAAAGGTTACCCAAATACTTTTTGGATTTACTGATTCACATTCCTTAGCTGTGGAAAGTATTCAGTGGTCTTCATTCAACACCAAAGGAACTGAGAATGCAGTATCTTTTAAAATATAAACTGGGGAGAAATAGTTATAAATGGTTCTCTGTGTATTGAAACATTTTCACATGAGGCAAGCTAAAGTTACATATTTTATGACAAACTCCTGGCAACTGGCATTCCTTTTTTTCTATCCCCAAGCTCAAATGGATCACAATTCTTCAAATGATCATTTCCAAAAACCTGGGCTGGAAGTTTCACATCAGATTTTTGAAAGTTGAATTCCAAAATGTTTGGAGAATTCAGGAAAGAGCTGATGTATTAACCCAATGCATGGTGCAATTTAAATAATCTTGTTTATATTTCAAGACCAACCAAGCACAGTGTTCTTTAGATATGTCAGCTTCCAATTAATTATCTAATTCTGAATCAGGATTTTAGTGGATCTAAGTTTTAACATGGATTGGTGTATGTTGTATATTTAAAAAGGAAATGAAGGGATAGACGTTCAGGAATTTTATAGTGAATTTACATTTAGTGAATTTATATTTAAATTCAAGATTTGAGGAGAGCTGTGTGTTTCCCAAAACAATGTTACCACTTTTTCTTTGACAGGCATACCCATATTTTGTTTCTGTTACCCTTGAAATGTGAAAGATCATTTTTATGAACAATAGCTTCAGTATCTGAAAACTGTCATCTGGATACCTAGACTTTAATTTTGCAGACATGTCATGCTAAAAACCTGGCCACTATTTATACGCAATATGACAAACTAGATCCAGACATTTGACTGTTTTATTGGCATTCTCCCCACTTTCCAATTCCTTTTTTTTTTTTTTGCTTCCTGGTTTACTATAAGAGGTTTACTCAATTAGAATGCCAGAAATATTTGACCACAAACTATCATTTACTTCTAAACCTGAACCAGAGACTATGATTCAATCTGGATTTCTGATTCTGGTTTGGATAATGGTAGGAAACCTTATTTGGCTGTTCCAGAGCAATACTGTCTGCTAACCAGGATTTCAATAAGAAAATTGGGAGTGCACAAGAGTACAAAACCTGAGGAACATCCTGATAGCTAAACAATTATTTGGGTCCAATATCTGAATTCAGCCACTATTTCTGAATAACCTGTGATGCAGGCACATCAGATTTATTTTTTAATTGAATGTGCATTAGGAAGGTTTTTGGAATTGAAGAAGCAAGGTGATAGATATCAGAAAGCAGTTAAGCATTACCTGTCAAATGAGACCAACTGCTCTTCCCTGCGTCTTTCATCTCCCTGGAAAGAAACAATTCTAGATCAGCCAAAACTTTACTCTGGGAGTATATGATGTAGCAATTTCTGGCCTAATTAACAGGCCTTTTTTTACAAGTCATGGACTTCACAGACATATCCAAGGCAAAATTAGTTTTTTCATTTAAAAGAGTACTAATTAAGCAACATAGACTGTTAATAAAATTGAACTGAAATAGAATTGAACTAAACAGGAAGGGACAAATATCTTACCAAGTCATTATGTCTGCAACCGAATGATAATTATTCCTGTGCCCCTTTGAATCAGTCTACCTAATTTAGTCTGCTGGGTGCCAAAAGAGGGGGAAAGGAATTATGCCATTCAAGGTCACTGCTCAGACTTGTATTTTTTTCTATTCATCAATATGTTCATCAGTTGGACATCGTTGGTCTCTCGCCTCAAGTAACAACTGAACTCTCATTTTCCCCATCCAAATTACATAAGACTGGCATAGTGTTGTATAACAGCTTTGCTATGAGAAGACTGAAAGATAGCTACTGTCCTATGTATGGACCTTCTAGTAGGGGAACACAGCTATTGTATATCCTTAACCAAAGATTGGAACTCTCCTCCTCTCTGGGATGGTCGTCCACTTCCAACAAGTGTCCAGCTTCAGGAGGGATGCACATGGACAGTGAGGGAGGAAGAAGACATTCACTTAGCCAGATCAGCTGAAGTAACTGTGGCAATCAATGGGATGACAGATATCGCATCCACATTGCCTTCACATCCTAGCTACTGTCCTGACAGAGAAAGGGTAAAGCAGGGGTCTTCAAACTTGGCCCTTTTATGACTTGTGGACTTAAACTGCCAGAATTCCTCAGCCAGCATGCCTGGCTGAGGAATTCTGGGAGCTGAAGTCCACAAGTTATAAAAGAGCCAAGTTTGAAGACCCCTGGTGTAAAGCAACCTCCTTCCCTTATTTTTTTCAAGTGGGTAACGGAACATATATAAAGCCCAGATGTTTTTCAGAATTTTCCTTGTTAAGAAGTAGAACCATCTATAATACGACTTTAGAATAAACAGGGTAGAGGATGTGAAGCTAGAAGAAAGGAACATAAGAATCTTCAGGTTAATAAGACACCTTGCCATCTTCAAAACATTTGGAGAAAAAAACCCTAAATTATTCCTTTGTGGACTATTTGGCTAACAACTTACAGAGAAACGAGAGCCAGCTCTTGCCCTGGCAACAGTTTCCTTTTCTTTCTCTGAAACTCTTCTCTGCACTGCTTGGAAATTATTTAAGGCTGCAGAAAAGTCGTTCATTAAACGCTCCTTCTGAAGTTTCTGCTGGCGCTGGAAAAGAAGAATTTTATCTGTGGTTGTAAAAGCAAACTCACCAGCTTCAAAGAAATATTCATACTTTATTTCTAGCTCTTACTGGATATTTTTGCAACTTTCAACATATATGACTTTTAAGAAAAGATTGGACAACCATTTATCCAGTATGGTATAGAGTCTACTGCTTGAGCAGGGGTTGGATAAAAGACCTCCAAAGCCCTTTCCAACTCTGTTATTCTGACTGATCCAGACCACTTTTATCCACTGTTTTATTAAAAGGATATTAAGATTTCTTGTTCGGCCATGACTGGGAATTTGGAAACAGAGAATCAGTATAAAGACTTAGGATCTCCTTTCCTCTTTCTCTTGAGTCAGCTCCATCCAAACTGGGCTATGATCCGTCAGTGATCTAGGAAAAATCTTTACATTCTTTACTTTATTATACAAATCCGTAGTAATCAAAAAAAAGTCAATTCTTGAAAAGTCAAGGATCAAAGACAAACCCATATCAAGAGAATTTATGGGGTATTAGTTGAAATGGACTCAGAAACGGAATTAATTAAAGATTGTATGATTAGATGGGCGCAGAATTTTGGTGTCCCAGTCTCATTGGACATTTGGGAAACCATTTGGGTGAGAAATGTCAAATTTACACAAGCACAGAACCTTAGGGAGAATTTTTATAAAATGTTTTATAGATGGCACCTTGATCCACAAAAAATGTCTCTTATGTACCCTGACGTGCAACCCAAATGTTGGAGATGTGGTTATAAGGATGCTTCCTATTATCATATTTGGTGGTCATGCAGAGAGATAAAAGCATTTTGGATCAAAATATGGTGGAATATCCAGAGAATTTTTAGAAGGAGGGTAAAATTTACTCCGCAATTATTTTTGTTAGGCATTGTTACAGATTGTGATACAAAGGAGGTTGTATTGATGTTAAATTTGATTACAGCCGCTAGGCTGTTAGTAGGACAATATTGGAAGAAGGAATCTTTGCCTACATTGCAGGAATGGTTTCTTAAAGTAGCTTATCTGGCGGAAATGGCAAAGATTTCGGCTTTCTTAAAGCAACAAACGCAAGAGAAGTTCCTTGCTGTTTGGGACAAATGGATAAAATTTATACAATTTAGATTGGGTATACAAAAATATCACATAGCTTTTTTATAAGTTTTATTTTTATATATATATATAGATATTTTTTTATATATATATATAAATATAAATTTTTTAATTTAATTTTTTATTTTTATTTCTTAATTTTTAATTAAGCCTATATTCTGCTCTGGGAAGCTCAGGGGGGGGAAGGGAGGGTTTTTGTGAGGGGTGGGGGATGGGTTTTTTTTTTATATATATATGTAATGTTTAGTTTCTTTTTTGTATATGTTGTCTTTTGTTTTGTATTGTTTTTGTTTTTTTGTAAAATTTATAAAACTTTCAATAAAAAAAAAAAAAAAAGACTTAGGGTGTGGGCCCAGGTTAATGTCCATTCACAGTGAAAACCCAGGGAATAACTGGTTTAGTCCCTCTCAGCCCAACCTCTTACTCCCAAGAGAGTTACTGGGGGTAAAATATTCGTATTCTGGGTATAATGTTGCTTTGAGCAACATAATAATTGCAACAATAGGAGAAGCAGAGGTCCAATACATCCACCAAACCAGAGTGAAAGGGTAATTTACACCTATTTAATACACCAGCAGGCACTGAAAATTATATGCACATACTATTAATCTTCATTATTACAGAAGATTGAATGAGAAATTATTCCTCAACTCCAAAACGCTACTTATACCTTCTTCACACTAAGAACTAGCATGTGCAAAATATGTAAGTCAGTCTATAAATGCCCTCTGCCCCCAGATCCATGCCACCAAGTAAAGGAAGCACTGCCATTCCAGATGACTGAATATAACATTAAGGCATGGTCCACACATCATCATGTTAATTTATGATGTGTTATGCTTGATTGTGGCTTATTATGTTTTGCAAACTCAACCACTGTTGTTTGTAAACCATAGCTTATTGTGACATTGCAAACATCTAATTAAATCATGATTAAAAAGCAATAGTTTAATGTGATCAGCAAACCTGTTCAATTTTCTCCCAATACATGAATACCACAGATAAACCCACAAACCTGTTCTGAGGAAGATAAGGGCAATGGAAGGGAGCCTAGCTCCTTCAGGTATTCATTAGTCTCTTTGGCAAGCCGGTTTGCTGTATGTTGCAACTGTTGTCTAGGAACAAAAACACATTTCAGTTTCATTCTGGCAAGTCTTATGTTCTAGTTCCAGTTCCTTTTAACTTTTGCCAATTATAGTGCCATCTATTTGGTGATTTGAACTGGATTATTTAATTATTGGCTCAAACTGTTCTCCTTGCCCAATTCCAGAGCAATTAAACTTTGCTTTTCATATTAAAAGAACTCACTTAGAGATCCATCCTGCTTTCAAAACCCAGGCTATCAGATTCAGCAGCTTGGTTTTTGTTCAGAGTTGTTTTTTCCTTGAACATTTCCCCCCCCCCATCTGACAATTTTATAAAGACTTGATTCACAGTGTCGCCATTCAATCTGACTTAGACAGCACTCCATAAGAGCCGAGGTGGCGCAGCAGTTAGAGTGCAGTACTGCAGGCCACTTTAGCTGACTGTGTTCAGCAGGTCAGTGGTTCAAATCTCACCGGCTCAAGGTTGACTCAGCCTTCCATCCTTCCGGGGTAGGTAAAATGAGGATCCAGATTGTTGGGGGCAATGTAAATATATATATACATTGCTTACTGGTGTACACCGCTTAGAGAGTGCTTGCACTTAAAGCGGTATATAAGTCTCATAAATAAATAAATAAATAAATAAATAACAAAACAAACACACAGAACTGCTTGTTGTTATTTAGTGGTGAAAAAAATGCTTTGAATGTGAAAGTTATTTAAAGCTTATGTCCAAGCCTATTCTTAGAATTGCTGTAACTCTATTATGAACAGATGGAACAGGAATTTTTTTTGCTCATAAAGCGGTGATTTGGTAGGCTATCCCATTTCATTTTCTTTACTCTCTAGTTTCTTGCTTTCTGGCAATTAATTGTTTTTTTTTTTTAATTCAGCTCTTGGGGGAAAAATGGGGTCTGATTTCCTTTTAGCTTCTTGTAACAAGGGATTTTTGTTCATAGGAAAAAAAATTTGCTTAGCTTCTAGAACTTGGGCATTTTTAAATCCACACAATACTGTGACAAATCAGTTAGAATCATCAATATCATGAATGCTATGATACAAAATTATCCAGTTCCTATTAAAATCTATGTATCTGCTCTTTTTACTTACCTCGTTCACATTCAAGCTAAGCTACCCACAAATCACTTTTTTTCTTAACCCATTTGTGTTGGAAATTATTTACAGTATTAAATTATTTTATTCTTTGAATTTGTTAGACCTCAAAGTTAAGATATCCAAAATTAATCTGAGTACCTGATTAGCCCTCAGGCCCTGCATACCTCAAAATGCTACTCAGATCATACTTACAAGTTTTCCTGCAGTTTGGTAGAATCCTGCTTGGTTCCCAACTGATTCATCAAATTCTTTATTTGAGAAGCTGTAAAAAAAATAATAACATCATTTGGCATGTACAGGTAGTCCTCAACTTACAACCAAAATTTCTGTTGTTAGGTGACACATTTGTTAAGTGAGTTTTGCCCCATTATATGACCTTTCTTGCCACAGTTGTTAAGTGAATCACTATAGTTGATAAGTTAGTAACCCGGTTGTGAAGTGAATTTGGCTTCCCCATTGACTTTGCTTGTCAGGAGGTCACATGACCCTGGGACACTGCAATCAGCATAAATACGTTGCCAAGCATCTGAATTTTGATCACGTGACCACAGGGATGCTGCAACAGTCGTAACTATGAAAATTGTTACAAGTTCCTTTTTTCAGTGCCATTATACCTTTGAACGGTTGAATTGTTGTAAGTGAAGGACTACCTGTTATGTTCCCCACTGAGTTATGAGAAGATGAGAGAGTATAAATTATTGGGTGTAACACAAACTCTATGAGTAATTCAAGTGTGCTATTAAACTCAGACTACAGTCATAAATTGCAACAATGAAGAAAGTTTTTAACTTGACTGCCTTAAACAACAGACTGTTAACTTCAAATTCTAGATTCTTATAATCCTACCTCTCCCCCTGCAAACACTTTGTCAATGACTATGAAGTCATCAGAAATCAAGCTAGACTAAAAAAAATGATTTTTTCACTTGCAGGACACAAAGAATAAACCAATCAGTCACAGTGATCTTAAATCTGGGAAGGATAGAGGGATTGGACAAATAAATGGAACTGTTGGTTCCAAATTAATAGCTACATATCCCTCAACTTCACTGACTCTATTTATCTATCTCTGCAGCTGTTCTAGTCCCAAAACAGGTATGCAGCTGTTTTATTCAGTCCCTGTTGAATAAGGGACCCATGCAATGCTCACAACTTCTTTCAACAAAATTATAACGAGTAGATGGATTTAGCCCAAAACAAGGCTTAAATACAATCAGAGACTATCAAGATACCAATCTGGCACCACTGAGTCACATGCTCAGAGGAGACTATAATTTTCCATTTATAAAATGAGAAACCAAAACAAAAAACAATCCACTAAAACTCCTTGCAGTCAACAGAACAGGGATTGTTTAGAGTTCTTGTCCATTAAAGTGAAACTGAAAATAATTTTTTGTGCCTGATTTATGCTATTCTGTATACTTTTGTGGAACAGCAATTCATCTAGTTCATGCTACTCTGGGCACTTTACAAACAGCAATTCCAGCAACATCAACATATTTGACCTTAAGTCATTGGGAAGGCTGCTGTCAAAATTCTTTCATCTATTTACAAATTATTGTTTAAATATATTGATGTGAGAAGAGGCTAAATAAAAAAAAATCCATCAAGGAAGTGCCAGTGAGATTGCTAGTCAGTAAACATATGTACTTTATTACTAAAAAAACCCTTCATTTATTGAAAAGTGAACTCCTGGGATTATTTTTTGGCAAATATCTACAGGTGTTCTGTAAATACATTTTAAAAATATTGATTCCAATCCTAAATCAATAATCTCAGAAGATCTGTTGGAGATTAGATCCCTACAAAAATGAAGACACTCTCTGATGAAGAAGCCAATGATGTGATTTATAAACTTAAAGTAAAAGCACAGTCCAGCTGCAGGCACATTGTGGCCTGGCTATGTTGCATACAAAGCCTCAGTCCATTGATCTCTAAAGTTTGCACAAACAGGACAGACAATTCAAGCCTATGTTGATTCCTCAGCAGGCTGCAGGCTGTGCCAGCAGGAGATCATCTCTCATGTGGGCATGAATTGGGGAAAGTTATGGAGCTATTTCCTGAATGCTTTTTGTGGTCTCTGTTGCTAGCTACAAGCCCAAAATGGAACCACGAGGGTCTATTACTTAAGTTAGATTTGCCCAGATTGCTGACCACTCCTTGTAATGCTATACAAAGAGTCTGGATATCTTTGCACAAAAAAAGTTTGGTGTAGTATTGACTTTGTTGGCAAGAAAATGGGGAACTCTTGAGTTTCAGTAGTCCCTTGGGCATGAAAGCTAGCTGGATGACTTTGTGCCAATCACTGTCTCTCAGTCCTATGTACCTTACAGGGGTTGATGTGGGGAAAATAGGAGGTGGGAGCAGATATTTCATTCTCTAAAAACTAGATATAATCATCAGGGCTGGTAGGAAATGAGATTTGTTCTTAATTTATATTCTAATGGCTTGCCCTGTCAATGTTGATGGGAGTGGTTTTGGTGCAGATGTATATTTAGTGTGTTATTTTATTTTCTATTGAAAAACTATTTGACTCGCTTAAATTTTTACATCACACTATATCACACTAAAACTATAGACAACTTTCTTAAATAACCCAATCTAGAGAACAATGTAGGCAAAAATGGTGATAGATATCATCAGGGCTTTTTTTTTTTTGTCATAGAACACCCAGAACAGAGTTCCGGCACCTTTTTTGGATGGAACCTTGTAGGGTAGGCAAGGCGGGTATGATGTGTGTGAGTTCCTGCACCTTTTTTTTTTTTTTTTACAAAAAAAGCACTGGATATCATTATTATTGTTAATGAGGACAAACAGTCTTCTAAAACGTTGCATGCAAATAGAGATCATGCCTAGACTCTTAGACTTTGGAACTGCTTGCCACTTTATTTCTGATCCCAATTCGTAAGGTTCAGGATTTAACCTTTTAAATATATAGTTTCTTTAAACGTTAGGAGATCGCGTGGATTTTACAAATGAAAACGCGGTACAAATAAAGAGGTTAGCGAGAGGGGAGGGGGATAAGAAAGGGGAGTATTTCTAAAGGATTTTTTTTTTTTTTTGCCGGGGGAGGGATAATCCAGGAGATGGTAGGAGTATGTGGGTCAAAGAGATCAAAAGCATCACTCACTGCATTGTGCCAGGCGCTGTATATTGGTGCTGCAGATCTGGATAATGGTGCTGAAATCTCGAGGCGGAAGCCCCCCAGGCCGGTAAGTCTCTAACTGTCCGTACGACATGGTTATCTCTAAAGCCCGGGGAAGAGAAAAAAAACCTAGAAACCACAAGAAAAAAAAACCCAACCGAGAATGATAAAATATCCTATTGATCTGTCAAAGCGAGACCCTGCCGACGCCTCCACAACTGCGCACGCGCATCAGGCAGGCCCGACCCTTCCCCCCTTTTTTTCTCACGCAGGCGCACAGTAGAAGCCTAATCAGGACAGCCTACCTCCGCCTTCCTTCTCACTCGAGGAAGCGGTAGCTGGTTGGATGAGCCGAGAGAAAGCAAGGGGGCTGTACGCATGCGCCCCCTAGCCGCGAACGCTCAGGCTTGGTTTAACCGCCATTATCTGAAAGCGAGACTCGGTGTCATGGCAACCGGGGGTAGCTTGGTGTTGCTGTTTAAAGGAGGCCGTTGTGATGATTTCCCCAGAGATAGTGGCGTGGTATCTACTCACTCTGGACCTGAACTGGGCTCGGTCAGGTTGCAGCTGGAATACTGGCGATAATGTACACGCTGAATTAAATGGGACGGACTCTTCAATAAAGCTGCCTTGGATTAAAGCGAAATAACCGATGTATCAATAACAATATTACTGCGTTTCCAGGTATGGTTTCCAGATACGTGATCCTAGGATTACATCGTGGATGTTATTCTGCGACGACTCACTAGAGGTTAATGCCTGGAGGTCAGTGGCCTTTTTATAGGTACGTGGGGATTAAGCACATCGTCAAAAATTTGGGGCAACCTTTAGATGGCAGCAGCAGCAGCCAGGATTATGGGTCTCTTGGCTGCCAGTCATTAGCCAACGCGATCTTGCAGTCTCATAAAAATGCCCCTTGTAAAAATTATCCTTGGAAATGGGTCAAAAGGTGACAGCCCACTAATATTGAATACCATTACCAATAGTCTAGTAGTAGTTAAGGCACCAGACTAGAAACCAGGAGTGGGAGTTCTAGTCCTACTTTAGGCATAAAAGCTGGCTTGGTGACTTTGGGCCAGTCACTCTCTCTCAACCCAACCCACCTCACAGGATTGTTGTGGGAAAAATAGGAGGCAAGAAGATGAAGTATGTTCGCCATCTTGAGTTATTTATAAAAATAATAAAGGCAGAATAAAAAAAAATCTAGCTCCACCTTAGGTGACCTTGGGCCAGTCACTTTTTCTCAGCTCTAGGAAGACTGTAAGGGCAAAGCACTTCTTAAATCTTGCCAAGAAAACTGTCCAGGCAGTCACCAGGAGTCAACACTGATTTGAAGACACACACATACACACACACACACTTTATACCAAGAACAAGGTGGATGGATGAACTCAACAACAATGGGGCTGGGTGCACCATGGGAAGACCAGAAGAATGAGATTGGGGGCTGATTCTCATGAAGAATATTTGTTTGGACAATCCAGTTTGAAATAATGTTGAATATAAAAATAATGTTAATGTTTTCAATTAAGGACTATACTCTGTTCAAAATGCTGGTGGTCTTTACATCCTCTAGGATCTAGACTCTCCTACATCATTTGGTTCAATTATCTGAGTTGTGGTGGGTGAATAGAGACTGTTCATGGGGAGACCATACCAAAATATGATCTCACATATTCTCTGTGTCTAACAACAAACAAGGAAAGCTAGAGTGTTATGCTGGCAGAAGGTAAATATTTAATACAGATTCACACATCAAACAGAACCATAATACAGTGGCTTGTTTAGATTTATACAGCATAATGAGACATGTTCACATGTCATTTTAAAGTATTATTTGCAGACAGGTTATGGATTGTAGAAACTAAGCTAAAATCAAAGAAGCTACAGTATATAGTACGGTAAGACTAAGTGTATTTAGTGAACTAGGCCACAGTGGTTGTAAACAAGATTTATAGCTCAGTGTTATGTATGATGGGCTGAAGACACTCCCTCTGCCTTTTAACTTTGCAATTGTTCCTTTTAACTTTGTTTTTAACTACAGCTTTTTATCATTTTAAAGTTTTATTTGTAAATTGCCCAGAGACATGCAAGTGTAAGTATAGAAATTTGAAAGACAAATAATCACAATGAACCAGCCTATAATGATTTGTTCATTAAACCATGTCTGAAACAATTTCTGACAGAATAATTATTTTAAAGTCAATAACACTATTGATATATTCTGATTCAGTCCTGGAATTTTCTACATTTGAGCCCATCCCAGCTAATCAATTAATCATAAAGAAATAAAAGTGTCAACTGGTAAAGGTTAGAAGTTGCAATTTGAATATCAGGACTCCAATTGGAGGGTGTAAATCTCATAAATCCCTGAGATTTCGGGGAAGTATCTGGAAAATATCAGACACCAGGGGGCATCAGTGCACAGTAAATGTTTTGAATTGCACACAGTTTATATAAATATTCTTAGCCAAATATTCTTAAGGCTATGTTGAAACTTCAGGCTTCCTTTGTTTATCAGCTGTTCAAGTTGCAGAATACCAGGAGCTGGTCAAGGGCATGTGCCAATAACATGTTTGCTCTATAAACTGCTACCCACAAGCCACAAATGAACAAACTCAACTTTCAGTTTTCTTCTTCTAAGAAGTTTATAATACCATAGTGGAGATCCAGCTACTGCTACCTCCATTATCGTCCTTTGTCATTCAAAAGTTCAGCCTAAAATCTTTCTTGGTTTATATCTGGGTGCTGATTACATACTGTATGAGAAAAATGTCTTTAAATACATTTGAAGGTTTGGCCAAAACATTATATAACAAAAGCACTTTCCATGTGAGTTTTTCTTACTGTAAAATGCAGAGACAAGAAAATAGTTCTTTTCTGTTATACCTGTTCTTTAAGGGCACAGATGACTTTTGTTCATAAAACAAAATGATTTCCAGAGCAATCTTATCCATCTTACTGTAGAAATCTTTTCTTATGGATGTTTCTGAAAGCTGACAGTTCAGAAAGGCTGTTAAAACTCCTGGCTTTAGATGAATGAGGTTAAGCAAACATTACTTTTTTTTTTTTTACTTGCTGTATGAAGCCATAGTTTGCTTTAACCAGAATTTTTTGAGCAACTATGGGGGTTTGTTTTGCACATTATTCAAAAGCCATCAGCTGTGGATTATAAATTGCAGTAGCTGGATTCACATATCATCCTAAGCCAAAATCAAATAAATGGTATCTTTGTTGATCAGGCTATGTACATCTATTGTTCTTTTCATTTATTAGATTACCTTAGTATTTGAGTAATAACATCAGTTTTATGAGGTTGTTTTATAGTATAATTAGTCCAGATCTCTCAAGATGAGGTGAGCTGTAAATGAGAGCAAACAAGTGCTGTCATCTGATTTGAAGGCATATGAGTCAATTCATTAATTGTTAAATCTTCAATTACATGGTTTGATGTAGAAAGGATACAATACTCCTCTATTGATGCAGCAACAATTATCTCTTATTTACTTTCAGCAAATGAGTAAATTGCATCATTCTGAAAGAATTGTTTTTAGGTGATGCACACTTGAACAGCAGTTTTATCTCTGTTTCTTTTGTAGAGTTGTTTACTATCTGCAGTTTAAATGTATTAGTGATCAAAACTGTATAAATTGTCAAAAATTTTGCTTCCCAACTAATCCAGCATGACAACAGTGCAATCCTAGGTGTGTTTACTCAGAGGTCACCCAGTGAATTCAGTAAGTTAGATTTATTCCTAGTGTGTCTAATATTGATTTATTCAGCAAAGGTGGGGTTCCTGTAGTCTTCTAGATGTTGCTAGAGTCAGTATCCAATTATCGTTGTCACTGACCAGAAGTAATGGAAGCTGGAGTCTAATAACCTTTGGACGGCTGCAGCACTATAATCATTGGCTAAGGTCACATGACATACTGAATTGCAAGCTAACTAGAATGCATATTTGTATGAAAATGTATATTTATCTAAGAGTACTTTTAACCCAGCTAAATCCTGAAGTACTCTGGGTAATGTATTAACTGTAATGCAAATCAATTCCATGTGGTCTCTTTATGATTTAGTGTTTGTGTGAAATGGGAGTAAACCATGATTATATTATTATATTAAGTACTGAACATTACTGTGTGAATGCTGCCAGTTTTGATTCAAAACAGTAATCTGGTAATCTTAGTGCTAAGATGTGACATTCACCTTGGTATCCCATCTATGTTCTCATTGCCAAAATTGTATTTCGTCATCAAGGACATTTGGTTTCAATCCATATATTTATGACTATGGTCTTTGATAAATATTAGTGCCAAAACAAATGTTTGAAGAACTACTCAGAGCACTGAATGTTTATATGAGAATTTGACCTGAAGATTGTATCTAATAATTCATAGCACAGTCTTCTGTTATGTATTCAGAAAGCTTCTATGTAGCCTTCCCTATCCTGGTATTTTCAAGTTTCTGTTGGAAGTAAAATTCCAATTCCATGCATAATGGCAATGATGAATGATTGTGAACCAATTCATTTGGATGACATCAATGTGCATTCAGCCATATGGTACTATAGGAGCATAATGGATGATTAATAAAGGTTGGTGTTTTTATTGAAAACTAATTGCCCATTCATATTGTGGTGTATCATCCAATGTTATGCATAAAATGCAGTCTAAAATGTAATATTGTAGCAGTATAATAATTTTTGAAGTCTTAGCTACTCTGCTTTCAAATTTTTAATTTTTATTAACCAAATAAAGATAGTTTCTTACATTAACACAATATCTTGTATGTTTTCTAATCTCACTATTCAGTGGAGTTTTATTCTGTTACATTTACCTAGGATTGTAACCTTGGCAGAGAAGTAGAGGATAAAAAAAGAAAATATAAATAGCAAGGGATGTTTCTAGGTAAATGTGTATATATTCACCCAGCCCACTTATATGCTATTTTCTGATGATTCACAAGGCAGTTTGCATAAATATAATGGATCCAGTTGTTTAAACAGCAATACAATTAAAAATGTAGGTGATAGTTAAAAGAATCTCAGTGTAAAAATAACAATGCAGGGCAACATCTGTTAACTGTCAAGGGCTG